ACAGTATAGTAAGACAATTTTGAATAGCTTATGAAAGCCCAAGAGAGTGGGTGAGGCATCTTCTCTCTGGGAAAAGAGAATTCCATACAAGTATTCTGAATTTTTAGTTCTTTTTGTACTTTAAAATGATTTTAAAGTTCTGTTTTCAAGCCCTTGAAAAGAGATATGTATAGACAGACAGGTATACTATAAATTTTTAAGATAAAAAGAAAAACATAGTGTAAGATTTTGAAAAATGCCTTTCTGCTAATATGACTTTTTCCAGTTTTTCAAAAATGTACTCCTGTGAATTAAGGCAGCAAAATTAAAAAAAGAAACTGGGGAGTGACATGAAAAGAAGGAAGGAAGGTATAAGTTGAAAGATTTAGAATACATTCACTTATAGAAAACTACATGCTATAGTACATTTTAACGACTGCATTATGTTATAAGATTTTATGAACTGGAACCCATTGCACATAAAGTGGACCTCTGATAACAAAGTTTGAATAAAATAAAACTTAGTATATTAAAGCTCTATAAGTCCTTTCTTTCTGTAAAAGATCTAAGTAGTTATTTCTCTAGAAACTATTCATAGGAATCTATTTTGGAATGCAATATAGATGAGAGAACACTGGTGGGGTTGTAGGGATCAATAATTTTGGAGATAACTCTTTATAAACTTAAGACTTAAGAAAACTTAAGAAAAATGTCCACATGGCTTGAATTTACTAGCATTCATAAGCTACTTCTGTTAAAGCCAGTTTGCAGTAGTAATTGAGGCATCAAGCTAGACACCAGGAGACTGTGAGTTCTAGTTCCACCTTGGGCATGAAGCCAGCTGAATGACCTTGGGCCAGTCACTTTCTCTCAGCTCTAGGAAGGAGGCAGTGACAAACTTCAGAGACTTGTCCATAACCTCTGCATTGTACTCTAAACATACTGTACTGTATGGTAGGATTTAGTTCTGATTCAAAAAAGTGTTTTGAAATATAAGATTACGACTTCTATCTTGCGTTGTTTCTAGGATTGCACGATAGTCATGCCATTTCAGAAGGAGGTGCATCTGCTTTAAAAGGTTGCAGACAGGTGCTTCATTCCCGTTCCAGTCTACTCCAAAGCAACTTTTTGGAATCTTACCTAAAATATTATATAATCTTAATGTGAAGAAAATGTGTTTGAATTTTTTTTAGGCTGCAAAAAATTGATTGTTAAGACATTTTTTTTCTCCAGAACTCCAGGGTTCAAGAGAGTGCAGAGAAACTCTCTGAAGGGACCAAGAGAAAAAGGATATGAAACTCAATGCACTCCACCATCTTCAACTTATTCTTTAGGAGTGTCTGTAACAATTTTATTATGTAGAAATTTTTTTTTCCCTTATTTTTTAAAATTCTTGCTAAAGTTGGGTGGAGGAACCTCTTCACAAGAGACTACGGGGGGAAAAAAAGTCCTTTCTACATGGGAGTACAGTATGCCTCCCCCCCTTAGTTCCTTGCAGAGAGTCCCCCCCCCATTAATTATATTGAACCCATTTAAGTCCTTGTAGAATCCTAGATTTTTGTGGAATGCAGTTTCAAAATCTCACTGTTGAGGAATTGGTTTTTGAAACTTGTTTCCTATAGTCACTGTCTAACTGGACCGGTTTTAGTTAATGACGTTCCCTGAAACTTCGTTCATTTGGAATGGGAATAAAACATATTGGTGCTTTGGCTGTTTCTAAGGCTGTGCAGTGCAAACTATTCTTCAGATTCTCTGGAATGTAGCATCTGTCTGCAACTCAGATGCTTTTTCCCCTCCAAATCACACTTCTACTTGTGTTTGATTATAGAAGAACATATTTGGTTTAAGGAGTTGCAGAGAGGTGCAATGTTTGAATCCCCACATACACTGAAACACTTTTTTGCCTTTAAAGCCGAAGTTCTGCAAAGCACTATTTGTTGCTGTAAAGATATTTAATAAAAAGAATCTCTTAAAAATGTAAGAGCTTTAAATAGCATAGTACTAACATGACGTCTTGAGTCTCAGAATTTGTTATGGAGAAAGCAGTAGCTAGGGAGAGGGTTGCATACTTTGTGTGTACTTGAACCAATATTTTAAGCAGATTAAGGGTGGCTATGTGGTTTCTACATAAAACATGGCATTTTTGTCAAGGTTTTATAGTGAGAAGGATGTATGGGTATGAACATGCCCACATATGCTTAGTGAGGACTTTTGTGGAATAGAAGACTTGCAAGTCTTATTTTCACATTTTGCTTTATCCAGGCAACAACTTTTCTTATATAATTCTGTAAATAATTGGTCTGTTAATCATAAAAAATCTTGAATAAATATGATGTTGGAAATAATCAAACATCAGTACAGTGACATTCTTCAGGATATTACAGTTTACTATCTGGAACAGATTTAAAAGGTTTTAGGATATGTTGCCATCTAATGGCAAAAGAATACTTGCTTGAATTTGTGCTTTGGTAGTTTCAGACTTCGTTTAATAGAAACTTGTTGGTTTCTCAGTGGTGGTGAAAATAGTGATCCAGGTTTTTTAAAATATGCAGTATTGGTTGTTTTAACTGAAAAGCTATGGGAGAACATACAAGCTTGACTTATTCAGGCCTCTGTGCTGCTGGACTACTCTTTTCCTACAAAGTCAGTTCTTAGAAAAGCTACTGTTTATTGCAAAAGTTCTTTAGAAGAATAATTAGGTGTTTTAGCGTATGTGTTAGTGTTAATATAATCTGCATTCTGACACGTGTCAGAAAATGACAGCCAGTTTGGTGTACAGTGTTTAAGATGCTGACCAGAAGTTTAGGCTTTCCTTAGTCATGAAAGCCGGCTGGGTGACTTTGGGCCAGTCACTGCCTCTCAGCCCTACCCACCCAACAGGGTTGTTATTGTGGGGAAAATAGGAGGCAGAAGTATTAAGTATGGTTGTTCACAGTCAGCCCAGTCCCAGCTGCCATTGTTATCATCACCTTGCACTTTGAGGCCCCTGCCACCATGTGCTCCATTATCCTGTATGAGCTTTTTTGTTTTCTTCCTCCTCCTGCTGACAAATCATGCCCTTTTGTGAGGAAACCGCAGGAGATCATCTTCTCCAGGTCTTGCAAGGAAACCGCCTGTGCAGCCTTGGGAAGAAAGCCTCATGTAGCCAACAGCTGCCTTGCAAAGGACCAGACAGTGCATGCATGCTTGGTCAGTAGTGGGAGCAAGAAGGCGATAAAAGTCAGATAGGATGTTGGGGCCTGGAGCGCAAGGAGCCAAAAGGGCATAGATTGGGGTTTGATTGGCAAATTTTATTTATTTATTTATTTATTTATTTATTTATGTATGTATGTATGTATGTATGTATGTATGTAATTTATATGCCGCCCTTCTCCTGTAGGACTCAGGGCGGCTTACAAAAATGACAGAGAATTACATAAACAGTTAAAATCAATTTAAAATTAATTAAAATCAAATTAAAATTATGAAATATTTAGAATCCCCCTACGGATTCAGGCCATATGGTGAAAAAGTCATGTCTTTAATTCACGGCGGAAGGAGAGGAGGTCCGGGGCTATCCTGAGGCCGGTGGGCAGCTCATTCCAGAGGGTCAGCGCTCCAACAGAGAAAGCCCTCCCCCTGGGGGCCGCCAGCTGACACTGTCTGGCTGATGGCACCCTGAGGAGGCTCGCTCTGTGAGAGCGCACTGGACGGTGGGAGGAAGGCAGGAGATGATCCTGCAGATACCCCGGGCCTAAGCCATGTACGGCTTTATAGGTTAGCACCAGCACCTTAAAATGAAACCGGAGAGCCACAGGCAGCCAGTGCAGCTCGCGCAGGAGAGGTGTCACACGGGAGTATCAAGAAGCCCCCGTAACAACCGCGCGGCCGCATTCTGTACTAACTGTAGTCTCCGGGTGCATCTTAAGGGCAGCCCCATGTAGAGGGCATTGCAGTAGTCTAGCCGAGACGTGACAAGGGCATGAGTGACCGTGGCAAGGGCATCCTGGTCTAGGAAAGGGCGCAACTGGCACACAAGACGTACCTGTGCGAAGGCCCTCCTGGTCACGGCCATCAGATGATCTTCTAAGGATAGCCGTGAGTCCAGGAGGACCCCCAGAATGAGGGGGAGTGGCATCACCCCTGGAATCATAAGTGTGAGTGGACTGCAAAGTGCCCAAATTTTGATCATGTGACAGTGGGGAGACTGTAATGGCCGTAACTTTGGGCACCAAGTTCTTTTGTTCAGAATCACATAACGTCAAACAGTCACTTAGCCATGACAAGTTGCTCATCTTATAAGTGATGTGGTACCTCTGGAACTCCATCCATCCATCCACCCATCCCATTTCTACACAGCCTATCTCACCTAAGTGACTATGGATGATTTACAGTTAAGAAAACATTCAGGATATATTCAGAAAGGGTTTGCTTTTGATGGTGAGAAAACTGGATGAAGTATTTAAAAGATGGTTTACAAGGCAATATTGAACCAGATAAATATTTAAAACTGGTAATTGTATAAAAGCTATATTGTAGAACAAAAATGTGAAACTTAAAGTAGTTGAATATGCTATATCAGGATTTCATATGAAATTTGTTTTTCTAGTTTGTATTAACTTCAGCTGCATCATAAAATGTTTCTAAAACTCTTTGCCCCGTATAAACCATTCTGTGAAGCAAAGTTCTGACATTTCATAGGATGTTTGCAGAAGTTTCTATGAAGTTACAGAGTTTACAGTAATAGTTACTTTTTGAATAAAATTTCCTTCTCTGATTATTTCATATGTTGGCTTTCCAAGTTTGGATTCAACAGACTGCTTTAACCTAATTCTTTCTTTCTAAATAAATGAATTTCTGAAATGTGAAAACAATAGGCATTTGTCCTATACTGCATAATTCTTTTTGCAGATTTTCACATAGTTTTATTAAATGGAAGTATACAAGAATATTAGTAATCATTTGAATTATCTTTTAAGAAATAAACTTTAATTTCTTAAATTAAAAAGATGAATTTATTCATAGCACTGTTGTTCTTGTAGGTGGCTTTTCCACGGTACTTCTTGTGCGTACTCATGGTGGAGTTCGATGTGCATTGAAAAGAATGTATGTAAATAATGTGCCTGACCTCAATATCTGCAAAAGGGAAATAACAATAATGGTAAGTTAATATAAGTTTTGTGTTGTACATACAGTATATATGTGTGGGTGTGTATAGTTTAGAAATGATGCATTAAGTTTGTGATCTAACGTTTGAATTTATTTTCATTGTGCTTAAATGTGGTTTTTTGATATGAGGAAACTACTGTGGTTAAATTATGGAAATGTATTGTAAAAATAGTTTATTGGTGGGTTGTAGCATTCCACATTTTATTTCAACAGTTAATTTTGTCTAAGAGGGTTGGACAATTTGCATTTGTAGAGTTGGAGATAGGTACTCTGTGCTTGAATATACTTTTAAAACAACTTTCTGGAGTCAATTTTGAAAGGCTGCACATTCCTAATTATTAGATCACTTTCAGAAAGAATAAAGGAAATACTGTTTAATTTGTATAAGAGCTTCAATATTTATGCGACTTGTTTCCCCTTTAACCTGGCTTTCTATATAAAACCTCAAATTCATCTTTTGTTGAATTGCTAGATCATGTTAGATAAGCTTTAAGTCAGGGGTGCTTAAATCTGGCCTGCAGGGCCAGCCTGGAAATAGCAAAGGACCAACCCGCGCTGCCTCTGGCAGCCAAAATGGGGTGCAGGGGGGGCTGCATGTAGCACTTTGCTGGCCAAAATGGGGTGCGGAGGGTGTCTCTGGTTTTGGCCAGCAGGGTGCTGCAGGAGGCATCTGTCCCGTCTGTCCATCCCCACCCCCCTCCGGCCGGTCCATGGAGAACTACAATGCTGCTCTGGCCCTCGAAGAAATCCAGTTTGACACCCCTGCTTTAAATAATTTAATGATTCTAAACTAATAGATAACACAAAGAGAGTTTCATAGGTTTATTTAGAAGAGATTAAACTATTTCAGATATCACATTGGTGAGATTCTGCATTCAAGATGATAATAGGAAACATACTTATAAAATGTCTAATACATTATAAAATAATTAACTGATGATTAATAGTTTGCATTGAATGATAGTTTGTAATAGAATTTTGTTTTTGATCTTAAAAGTTAGCATATTCTTTTTTTCCTTTATACCTAAGAATGTTTCTCTTTTTACAGAAAGAACTGTCTGGGCACAAGAACATTGTAGGGTATTTGGATTGTGCTGTCAATTCTGTTAGTGATAATGTGTGGGAAGTGCTTATCTTAATGGAATATTGTCGTGGTAGGTACATTTTTGTCATCTTAATAACAAAAATAGTTGGCTAGCATGCAGTGTTTTGGATGAAATTACAGCAGCTTTGGAGATAGTTACTGCAAGGTGAAATAGATTATCCACAGCTAACATTACTTGCCTCCATTTTGTTGCTTCTTATTAGAAAGCAAAAGCGGTCCAAAAATGACAATGATCACTCGTATGTTAGGGCTATATGAAATATTCAGAGCACATTTCATATAGAATCAGTGTTTTAGGTTGATCTGCAGAAGATTCTTTCTCCAATGCGGTGCAATTAATTTAGTTATTTGTGCTTGGACTGCAGTTTATTATCCCTAAACTGAGACTTATTTTGATCAGACTAATTTGTCATTTAAAATTAAATAAAAAATGTTTTGATTCAATTAGTTATTGTGAAATGCTTATGTTAATTGTATTCTTAGTATTTATCTCTAATAAATAATAGATGAAATCTAAACTCTTACTTTGAAAAGCATCATTGTGTTAAGTGTTTCGGGGTTTTGAATATTTAATGTTTCCAATCTTACAGAATTGAATCTAATCTGCTATATAGCATTATTTTTTATTCCTTCTTTGTAGCGGGGCAAATAGTGAATCAGATGAACAAGAGATTACAAACGGGCTTTACTGAATCAGAAGTGCTAAGAATTTTTTGTGATGCCTGTGAAGCTGTTGCTAGGTTGCACCAATGCAAAACTCCCATTGTTCATAGAGATTTGAAGGTGAGAAAAATTGTGACCGAAATCCATGCTGTTCCTGTCTATGAATGAATAATTGTATGGCGTAGTTTGTTTATTCATTATCTTTGCCTTAAACTGTTTATGGCATTATTTAATATGTTTTTTTTTAGCTTTTACTATTAATATTTTAATTCTTGTATAAAATGGGTGACTATATAAATGTTTCAAACAATCAAAGTCTCAGTATATTTGCTCTCATGCAATTTATCTATTAGGTTGCTTATGTCCATGTCTTCTTCCTAAATTCAAAGTCTTAATCGAGTTTAGATAGATGGTGCCTTAAAAAACCCTGTTGTTATTACATCAATTTTGGTTGCTTTGATTTGAGAATAACGCTCAACTTGCTGGATGAGATCTAAGAAATTATCTGAATAATTAATTCTTTTTCATCTTGGCTTCTTAAGTTGAGCTGGAAGTTCAATTGAATGGAGGTGGAAAATAATGGCCAAATATATTGAAAAAAATTGCTGTCTTGCTAACAGAAAGAATAGTTTGAAATGCTGTTTTGAAACTGGTAGTAATGATATTATTAATTAGGAAAGTCTTGTGGAAATATTATAACCACTATTTAACACTTGTTTCAGGTATATTCTTTTTGTGTAAAATGCTTGAAAATTTTGGGTTTACTCTAATGGATTACTTATGGGATAAGACTTTACTGTTTTTTTAACTGACAGTAAACTTTAATCTCAACCCTGATTTCTTTCTTCAGTAGTTTAATAGATTAGAGGCCAAATTAATAATAAATTGGGTATGATTGTATTTGCGGGGTTACTGTTAAACAATAGTATTCAGAGAAATTGCTGGCTTCTGAAATAGCTATAATTTATATTTTAAGCATGTCAAGTTCTGGGAATTTGGAGTAATGTATCCTAGTATGCCGATGATAGTTTTGGCTTTCAGCTTGTATCAACTGAGCGAGGATAGATGGTATTGAAGGATTGTCTTATTAAGTAATGGAATAAACTAAAGGCAGTAAGGTAAAGCCATATGTTGACAAGAAGCTGGATAATTTCTGATCTGGGAGATTGATCCTTATTGTGTTCCAGTCCAGATAGTTCTCCCTTTGAAGAAACAGGAATACTGTTTTTTCCAGTTTGTGTCTCTAGAAAATGGTCCAGTATTTTTAGAGACATAAATGATTCTGGCAACCTAGCACATTTTTAGCAGTCTTGATTTTTCCTGAACAGGATTCTACTAATCACAGAGGAAGCTACTTTTAATAATATCTACATTACTTTACCCTATCACAGGACTTGACAATAGACTTAGAATAACTTTGAATGTACACTAATCGGCATACATTAAAATGAAATTTTGTTGCATACAGCGCTGAAAGGGTCACCACCTCCAATATACACTGCATAAACATGACTAAATAAATAAATACAAAATTATGCACATACCCACATATATTATATGACACAGAGAAACAACACCGTCTAGTTCAGATGTATGAATGTACATGGCGAGAAAAAAATCTTGCAAGTTTACCAGACGGATTGCATAGGGAACAAAGCTGTTAAGGAATCTGGTAGTCCTGCTAGACTTCCTAGACAATCTAGGAAGTTCTCAGGTGTTTGATATAGAAAAGGCATAATTCCTAATCAGATAACATGGAGGTGGTGGTTTACATAAGTTGTACTCTTAAACACATAAGTTGTCCTTTGAAATAGTTAGAAACGCCTACTAGTTTAAAATTAGGGAGTCCTGGTGACACAGTGATTAAAGCGCAGTATTGCAGCTAACTCTGCCCATTGCCAGGAGTTTGATCATGACTGGCTCAAGGTTGACTCAATCTTCCATCCTTCTGAGGTTGGTAACATGAGGACACAGATTGTAACTGACTTAGACAGAATCTTTCTCCCATCACTCTTTATTATAGCATTTATTTGCCACTGAGATTCAAGTGCATTTTAGTCACATGACTCTAAAGCAGGATATACAATCCAATACAGTACAATCTAAATATAAAATATTAGACATATAATCAACCAAATCGGTACATCAATAAATAGTTAAATAATCCAAAGGCTAATAGAGTGCCTTCCTTTTGTTCACCAACACATTCTTCATTCTCTTAGTTGTAAAAACTCTGTGAAAAGCAGTTTTAGCCAGTTTTGCTTCCTTTGCTTATCATATTTTATGCCCTTCCATTTCACTTATTAGGCTTCTATAGAAAAGATGAATAGTTCTTGCCAGAGATCTCCAGAAAGCTTTACTTCATGCTTAAAATGTTCATAGAATTATAAAATGTTAAGGTTGGAAGGGACTGTAGAGGTCATCTGTAGAGCTCTTATTGCGTCATCAGATAATCGCCCGGCCGCCCTCTTTAGGGTGACCCGCTCCCTGCTCCACCAGAAGCGCGGGAGGACCTTGGAGGGTAGAGCCGAGGATTGTTCAGTATCTGTATGACAAAATCACTCAGATTCGGGAAGATTTGGACTCCGACTGGGTAGTCTCAGGGGGAAGACAGGGCAGGTCTTGAAATGTTATCTGGGATGGGTTTGATCCTGTGACCCCTGAGGACGTGGACAGGATTCTGGGTAGACTGAATGCGACCACTTGTTTATTGGACCCGTGTCCTTCCTGGTTAGTACTGGCTTCCCGGGAAGTGACACGAGGCTGGCTCCAGGGGATTATAAACGCTTCGCTGAGTGGGGACTTTCCCGCCGCCTTGAAAGAGGCGGTGGTGAGGCCTCTCCTCAAGAAGCCTTCCCTGGACCCGCAATGTTGGTAAATTATCGTCCGGTCTCCAATCTTCGCTTTGTTGCGAAGGTTGTTGAGAGTGTGGTCGCGCAACAGCTCCCCCAGCACCTGGATGAAATGACGTATCTGGATCCGTTCCAGTCGGCTTCAGGCCCGGGTACAGCACGGAAACGGCATTGGTCGCGTTGGTTGATGATCTCTGGAGGCTCGGGACAGGGGTGCTCCTCTGTCCTGGTCCTGTTAGATCTCTCAGCGGCTTTTGATACCATCGACCATGGTATCATGCTGCACCGGTTGGAAGAGTTGGGGTGGGAGGCACTGTGTTGCGGTGGTTCTCCTCCTTTCTCTCTGACTGGTCGCAGTCTGTGTTGACAGGGGGACAGAGGTCGGCCCCGAGGCCCCTCATATGTGTGCCGCAAGGGGTCGGTCCTCTCGCCTCTCCTGTTCAACATTTATGTGAAGCCGCTGGGCGAGATCATCCGTGGTTTCGGGGTGGAGTACCATCAGTACGCTGACGACACCCAGCTGTACATCTCCACCCCGGATCACCCCACGATGCCCTTGAAGTGATGTCCCGGTGCCTGGAGGCTGTACGGATCTGGATGGGGAGGAACAGGCTCAGGCTCAACCCATCCAAGACTGAGTGGCTGTGGTTTCCGACGTCCCGATATAGTCAGTTGACGCCATCACTGACTATTGGGGGCGAATCATTGCCCCCACGGAGAGCTCGCAACTTGGGCGTCCTCCTGGATTCACGGCTGTCTTTAGAAGAGCACTTGACGGCCGTGACCGGGAGGATTTTTCATCAGGTTCGCCTGATTCGCCAGTTGCGTCCCTTTCTGGATCGGGACTCTTTACGCACGGTCACTCATGCCCTTGTCACCTCCCGCCTGGACTATTGCAATGCTCTCTACATGGGGCTCCCCTTGAGGAGCACCCGGAGGCTCCAACTGGCGCAGAGTGCGGCCGCGCGGGTGGTAATGGAGCGACATGGCGTTCCCATGTAACACCTCCTGCGCGAGCTGCACTGGCTCCCGGTGGTCTTCCGGGTGCGCTTCAAGGTCTTGGTTACCACCTTTAAGTGCTCCATGGCTTAGGACCCGGGGTACTTGCGGGACCGCCTACTACCACCAATGCCTCCCACCGGCCGGTACGCTCCCATAGAGAGGGGCTCCTCCGGGTGCCGTCAGCCAAACAATTGCGACTGGCACCCCAGGGGAGAGCCTTCTCTGTGGGGCACCTACTATCTGGAACGAGCTCCCCCCAGAGATACGGAGGATCCCGGATCTGCGCACCTTCCGCCGCGCCTTAAAGACCCTTACTATTTCACCAGGCCGGCCTGGCCTAATTTTCCCCCTCTTTTATAAAAGATTTTAAAATTTTAAATATTTTTAGTATTATATATTCAATTTTAAATTGGTTTTAAAGTTTGGGTTTTTAAATTTGTCGGGGCCAAAATTATTTAATTGATTTTATTCTATTTTAAATTTTGCATTGTATGTGTTTTTAATTGTTTGGCTGTGCACCGCCCTGAGTCCTTCGGAGTAGGCGTATAGAAATCTAATAAATAAATAAATAAATAAATAAATCTAATCCAGCAAGAATATATTATAAAACCTAAGGCATATTTCCCTTTTTTCCCCACTGAAATTTACCGTTTTCTGGGGCAGCCTATTTCAAGATCTATTATTGTTAGTAAATTCTTCTTTATGTACTGTGGTAGTATCAAGTATCCTCTCCACACACACATGAATTGCATTCAGCACCAACCCTATCAGATGCTGATGTAAAAATGCTTCCTTGTAACTTAAACTTACAATTTAGTCTTCTGTAAACTGGAACAACACTGTGAAATCTACTCAAATTCTATATAACAATCTTGTAAACAGTTTCAAAGTTACTTGAAAGTCCCACAATCAAAAGTATTAAAGAACATACACAGATGTACACATGTACTTATAATCTTTGCAAATAATCAATACCATAAACTTTAATCTCAAAATCTCTGCTGATTTGGTTTAGTTTGGCTGGCTCTTCTGCAGTTTTGAGTTTGAGATCATTTGAAAACAAAAGACTTAAGTTATTTTGATTTGCTAAAATTTTATTTTTTGGCATTACACTCTGCTCTTAATTCTCTTTTATGTTCTTGAGTAGATCTCAGTGCATTTAAAACATGCAAATGTAGGACATACTATTTGGGCAGCTAAACTTAGATAATAGCATTGGTTGCAATGTCTTTGATAAGAAGTATAAAAAGTACTATCTTTAGTACAGTATGTACTATATTTAGTAAGGCAGCGGACAGTGAAGAGTTTATATATAGGGACAGAGATATTAATCTGTGTTCAAACAGATTAATAAATAACAGAAGTAAACCAACTTGTACTTTTTAAAGCACAGCCTCAGGCCTGGCTGTGGTTTGTGGAAATTGTTATTCAATATTTATTTTATTTCATAGAATAATACAGTTTGGAATGGACCTTGGAGGTCCTCTAATCGAGTCCTCTCTGCCCACAGCAGGAATCCTTATGTCATCTTGTACTGTCCAACATTGCTTGGAAACCTTCAATAATGGGCATCCATGACTTCAGAAGACAGACTATTCCACTGGTTAATAGTTCTTGTAGTCAGGACATTCCTAGTTATTTTAAGTTTGTATCTACCACTGTATCCCTCCATTTATTTACAAACTTTATAAACTGCTCAAATCAGATTGACTGTGGTAGCATGCATCTCAGTAGTTCAACAGTACAATAATTTAAATAAATCATGATAATAATGATATCAGCTGAATCACTGAAGGCTCTGAAGTAGTGCTGAGAAAGGATAGCATTCTAAGGGAATGTAGGGTAGAGGGCAACCATGCTTCCAGGAAGAGCGCATTCAGTAGGGGCTTCTTCTGGAGAGTTCTTCCTCCTGATATAGCCAGCCTCTTTATTTCTTTTGGGGCAAATGTTTGGCAAGCTGATTGCAAGCTGCTTGTTAAGAACTCTTATCATGGAGCTTTACTCATGAGGTGTGAAGTGCATTGCATGTCATAATACAGTATATAAATCTTTACCTGGGGGAATTAAAATAAACATAACATTTAGTTCTTCGTTATAACTCAAACAGCTAAGTGAAAGTGCTTGAAAATTATTAGAACTATATTCTGTGTTGCGTGTGAATTTGTTGTAAATTGATTTTTGTTTTCTTTTAGGTTGAAAACCTTTTATTGAATGACAGTGGAAACTATGTGCTTTGTGACTTCGGCAGTGCCACTAATAAATTCCTTAACCCTCAGAAAGATGGAGTCAGTGGAGTTGAAGAAGAAATTAAAAAGTAAGTTGCACATCTTAAGGCAGTAGTTTTCTGCATCTAACAATAACAAAATACATTTTTAAAATATTTGGAAATCTCAGTGCCTGCTTTAAAGTCACAATGTTTTAAAAAGAAATAATGTGTCCAAAGGCTTGGTTCTTTAATTGGATGAATTTCTACATTTAGAAATCTGTTATAGGTAGTCCTCATTTAATGACCATTCATTCAATGGCCATTTGAAGTTATAGTGGTGCTAAACAAATACAGATAGTCCTCAATTTATGACCACAATTGAGCCCAAAATTTATGTCGTTAAGTGAGAATTTGTTAAATGGGTTTTGCCCCATTTTACTACATTTCTTGCCATAGTTATTAAGTGAATCACTGCAGTTGATAAGGTAGTAACATGGTTGTTAAGGGAATCTGGCTTCCCCCTTGACTTTGCTTGTCAGAACATGACCCTGGGATACTGCAACTGTCATAAATATAAACCAATTGCCAAACGTTGAATTTTGATCATATAATCATGGGGATGCTGCAAAGGTTGTAACTGTGAAAAATGGTCATAAGTCACTTTTTTTCAGTGCCGTTGTACCTTTGAACGGTCAGTAAATGAACTGTTGTAAGTGAAGAACTACCTATAGTTATGTTTTTCAAAGTTACAACCACTGTAGCACTCAGCTCCTGGTAGTCACATGATCAAAATTCAGGTGCTTAGCTGCCTGTCTGCATTTACAATTCCAGCATGCACTTCAACTCTCTCCCCACCCCCCATGCCCTCTCTCTTGTCTCTATCCCTTTGGCCACTCTGCATTCTGTGACATCCCCCCCTCCCCCACTCCTGCTGCCCCCAGCTGACCTTTGGTATCTTTTTCCTTCTGCTGTTGATGTGGAGTGCCTTTGCTCTTTGCTATTGTGTGCATCCCTAAATTGCAAAAAGCTATGCAAAACGATCAGTAATCAAGATATTTTATGTGCATATCCAAGTCTGATTTCTTTATCAACCATCCTGAGAAAAATGTGGTATCAAAGAGTGCCATTAAAAAATAATAATAATACCCCACCCTAAAGTACTTTTATTAGTGCAATAGCTGTATAGTTTGGGTTTGTAAAACAGGTCACAGTAGTCATATTTGTGTTTGATTAACTTTTATTCTAAATTATTTGCTTTAAGGTATACCACATTGTCATATAGAGCTCCTGAAATGATCAATCTTTATGGAGGGAAAACAATTACAACCAAGGCAGATATCTGGGTAAGATAAAATGTTTTGCAAGAATTAATAAGAAAGGTGTTGACCAAATCAGTATATCAGAGAAATCCAGAAGTAGCCAGACTCAGGTTTATTGTAATATTTCTTAATTTCTGTGAGTCTGCTGCGTAAGTGTCTGAATCCAACTCTATACAATTTATAAAAATTTATAAAAATGAAATGGATGACATTTTTATCTATACAATTTATCTATCTATACAATTTATAAAAATGAAATGGGTGACATTTTTAATCTGCCAAATTCAGTGTAGAACATAATTTAAAAAGAATCATGTTTATTTTGGGTTTTTTTTTGTTCTAGTGACTAAATTTATAGAAAAAATCGATTGGATTTAATCCATTACATTTTGAAACTATTTACCACAAAAGCACTTTTACTAGGACAACTACATTTTGAAGATGTGGAGGTGAAATAAACAACCATCGGAATAAATTGACATAATGCCACAAGCAACAAAAAAATCAAGAAAAATATTTGTTAAATGTGTTAAATGTGACAGAATTATAGTTTAGGAAAAGTTGCTGCTAAATAGTACTAAATGATCTAAGTAACACAACATGTTTTAACAGATTTATTATATCTACCATGTTTCTCAAAAGACGACCTATCTTGAAAAGAAGCCCTATTACGTTTTTGAGTGCATGCGATCAAATTAAGCTCCACCTACAAAATTAGCCCTAACTAAGACCCTGCCCACCCCAGGGCACATGGTGTGAAGCGAGGCACACAGGTAAAAAATAAGCTAGGGTGGGGATGGGAGAGTGGACCTACCCTATTTACCAGGCCTCACACACCGCGACACCTGCCTTGCCTTCTTCTGCGGCTGCTTGCCGCCACTCGCACGCATCGTCCTGGCCTCCGTTTTGCCTTCAGATGTCTGCCAACATCTGTTATCTGCAGCCGATAACAGAGCTCTGGATCGGTCTGGAGTTCTATTATCGGCTATAGATGCCTTCCGGCAGGCTGAAGGCAAAATGGAGCCTGGGGCAATGCGTGCGAGTGGTGGCAAGCGGCCGCAGAAGAATTGGGCCGGCAGCGGGCTCCTGCTGGGCAGGGCTGCCGGTGCACCTCCGCGAAGTGAGTCAATAATTAGAACACTCCAAAAAGAAGGCCTAGCCCTTTTTTCTGGGGTCAGAAGAAAATAAGACCCAGCCTTCTTTTTGGAGAAACACGGTAGCAATTGTTCAAACAATATGAAATTGTGATAACAAAACTTATTACAACTTTTGAAATAGTCTGCTGTTTTTATAGTTCAGTTACTACTATAATGATGTGCTTTTTTAAACAGGCCCTTGGCTGCTTGCTGTATAAACTTTGCTTTTTCACACTTCCCTTTGGTGAGAGTCAGGTTGCTATTTGTGATGGAAGCTTTACCATCCCAGACAATTCGCGTTATTCTCACAGTATGCATTGTTTGATAAGTAAGTAACTGGTACATTTTACCAACTAAACTTTCTATGTGAAACTAAATTGCTACATGTAGGCATAACCAAAACTGATTTCTTTGGTTATTGCATATTTCATTACGCAGACTTCCAATGTAGCCAAAGAAATAATGTACATTGTAATATTATAAAATATTGGAGTAAATATTATTTATGAATTGGAATAATATTTTGGAAAATGAGTTTTATGTATATTTTACGAGTTTTTTTCATAAAAAATACATAATCTTTTTTTTGATTACAATGGATACACAATTTTTTTTAAAAAATCAAGACTTGCTCTTTCCCTCTCTTTATTATTAACTACTTTATATTTATATAAAAACATTTTTATATAAAAATAAAAATTCCAATGTTCTGGGACGCAATTCAGGTATATATTGGAATATTCATTTAAATACAGATTAGCATCACTGTATATATCAGGAGTGTTAAACTGGCGGCCCACGACCTGGATGCGTCATGCACAGGCCACGACCACCCTAGCTCTGCAAAGGGGAAAAACGTCACAATATGTCACAAGATGGCAATGTTACGTGATACTGTGAATTTGACACCTGTGGTATAGATAATCCTTTTAGATTGTTTGTTTCCCTCCAAAAAGCTTTGAAGGGTGAAAAATTTCCTTAAAACTGCTTTTATTTATTCCCTTGGTTTCTGAGAAAAAAGCAAAATATAAAAAAATATTCCTAGGCAAGAAACGCAGTGTTTTCCATACAAAACAACACTGTTGCTACTTTATGGTCTTTATATTATATTAGTTTTTTATTTTTTAATAAATTTACAGACACTTCTAAAATTCTGTTTTCACTTTGTCATTATGGGGTGTAGATTAATAAGAAAAAAAAGAATTTCAACAACCGTAGAATCAGGTGCAGCGTAACAAAATTGACAAAAGCAAAGGAAATCTGAATACTACATATTAGTTGTAGTTGTAGTGAAGCTGATAGTTCTGGAAACAGAATAGGGAAAGTATCCAATTTCTTTTCTTCTTCAGCATTTCTGTAGAGAGGGTGCTAAACTTAAGATGTGCTTTTATTTATATATATTATTTTATTTATTATTTTTATATATATATTATTTGTATTATTCAAAGCTAACAGGTCTTGTTATATCATATTTTGTTTCCCAACTTCCTTCTTCACCCCCTTCATTCTTATCTTTACATGAGCATTCTAATTTATACTTATATTTCAATGGCTATTTGTGTATAATCAGACTTCTTTTCTATTAATACCTTGTTTTCTCTTCCCCCTCCCTTTCTAGGGAAAGTTATTGTTGCAAATATAAATAGAATATTTTTTTTTACAGATTTGTAAAATCCACCCATAAAATAAATTTAGAAAGTTCAAACCACTTTTCTTCTTAAAAAAATTCCATTAATTTATAAACTGAAAAAAAATACAGATATATGAAAAGTGATACTTCATTTTTGTGTAGGCTCACTTTGCTTTCAAACTAAAAATACATTCACCCTCTAGAGTGTTTATACAGGGAATGATACTAAAATTTTTGATTGTCTGTAGCTTAATCCTGGCCAGTACAGATGAGACTCTTTTCGGAATCTAAAAAATAATAGAGTTAAGAAGTAAAGAATCTCAGGGACAATTGCTTCATTATCATGCAGTCATGAAATATACATTGTGATGATTTTCTAGGTAGAATTGATGTGGGGTTTTACTTGCTTGAGAATGATACAATACGAGAGAGGTAGGGCATTCAAGAATACCTAACCTTGGTAGTTTAAGGTTGTGGAAAGTTAAAATTGGTACCATAAATTAGGCATGAAAGATAATTTACAGAGGTGCAAAATGGTGATTAAGATAAATTTTTGAAGCAGTTTAGAATAATTTAGCTGTTAAGTTATGGAGGCATGAAATTAGCCAAATCTAATTTAAAAAGAAAAAAAAAACCCTGTAGTTTTGTTGCTAGATAAAACCGGTACAAAGTTCACAGTGTGGCTTTTGGATGGATGTAAGAATATTATATAAAATAATGTAATGACAATTAAGAGGAATCAATCCAGTCACTCTATTCTCTTAATATCCATACCTGGCTATAGTACTTCCTTAATCTGTAGAAAATAATGTAATTAGAATTCAGAGGTAACTATAAACTCAATTTATTCTTAATAAACTTGGTTGCCTTAACGACTTCTCACTTTTATGTTAATAATTTAATTTGCTGTACTCAACAGGATACATGCTTGAACCAGATCAAGAGCGAAGACCTGATATCTTTCAAGTATCTTATTTTGCCTTTAAACTTGCCAAAAAGGATTGCCCAATTTTAAACATGAATGTAAGTAGATCTGTATTTGTGCTTTCTTTGACACAGTAAATCTTGTTCAGAATAATAAGTAGGACTGGTAATCAGGTTTACTTTAAAAAAAAAAATTAATTCATCTTCCTCTGTTGAAAAAAAACCCATATCTTTTAACAAATGTAGTATTGACAAAGGAAGAGTTTATTTTTAAAAGTTACTGAATAAGATAATGTATGCTTGTATTGATCATAGGAAACATGATATGCATTTTTAATGCACTTGATATAGTGCATTATACATCATCATGGCCTCATTTCCAAGATATGCTTGTGTTATTAAATAATTGACCAAGTTAAGAGCTATTCACCTGACCTTGTTTCTTAACAACAAAAACAAAGTTAAAAATGCAGAATACAACTGTACAGGTGGTCTTTGAATTACAATGGTAATTGGGTCTGGAATTTCCTTCACTAAGCAATGTGATCATAAAGCCACCATTATAAAGCCACCTCCGTTGCTCTGCACTCTGCAAGCAGGGATGGGCTGCTGTGGGTTCGCAGGGGTTTGGGAGAACCTCTAGCTAAGATTCTGTGCAGTTCGGAGAACCCCCAAATCCCACTCCTGGCTGGCCCGTCCCACCCCACCCCTCCCAGGAGTCCCCAAGCGGGCTGTTTTGGATGCAGGTAAGTGCAGGGCGTGCGCGGAGGCTTGGGGAGGGTGAAAAACGGGCCTGCCGGAAGTTCGGGAAGGCCAGAAACGGGCCCATTTCTGGCCTTCAGAGTGCCTCCGGAGCCTGGGGAGGCTGTTTTTGCCCTCCCGGAGGCTTGAGAAAAGCCTCTGGAGCTTGGGGAGGGCAAAAACACCCCCCTGCCGTGGTGCTGGAGGCCGACAAGGCCACGCCCACCATGGCCACGCCCACCTAGCAGAGAAGCCCTTGCTAAAATTTTTGAAGCCCACCCCTTGCTGCTCTCAGGTGACTTTCACCATCTTTCCACTATTGACGAGGGTATCTGGCCTCTCCTTATGTGAGGCAGCTGACAGCCACACCAAATCTGCTTTTATGTCATTCTTTAAATAGCACATACTGTTCCTGTGATACTTTAGAACAGAGGTGTCAAGCCCACGGCCTGGAGGCATCACACGCTGGCCATGTCCACCCCCGGTTTAGCAAAGGGGGAAAAAAGTCACTATATGTCATGTGACGATGTGAGACCATGACTTTGACACCCCTGCTTTATAGAAGGTTTCGGAGACCTTCTGAAACCTCACAAGGAGGCTGCAGCCCCAGATAATACCATATATGGGTTTCTTTGTTTATTGTTGGTATGCAATGTGATTATGTTCAAGTTGGTATGATATAACACTTTTCTATTACTATCTTTATTTCCAAAATAAAGCTATTAATAACATGCGCTCGTTTATTTCCCCAAGAATTCTCCTCTCCCTTCAACTCTTCCTGAGCCCTTGACAGCTAGTGAGGCTGCTGCTAAGAAAAGCCAAATAAAAGCTAGGTAAGTGCAATATTTTTATTAATAATTCAGTGCACTTTTTGGCATAGTATTAAACTTCATTATGCAAAGCTTTGTCCTGTGGTCACAGATGCTCCCTCCTGAACACAATTTCCCCTGGCACTGCTGTGAGTCCAGGAAAGCTCCTAGTTCCATGTAGAACATAGTTCTATTGAGAATCAGAATTGGTACAACACTATGGTCAGCCAGCTGCTGAATGAATAGCCCCTTGCTCTTGCTTGGGTTGAATCCAAGCTGGTTTCTCCACATATAATCCTTCCACAGCAGTTCCCATTTCCCACTGGCTTCTTGCAGATTTTAAAGGGAATGAAGGGAAAGCTGAAGCCTAGAATCCCCCATGATGAATTGACCCCCTCTCCTCTACAACAGTTGATGGACAGAACCTGCCCACTCAGGAACCGTGTTGTTATTGTGCAGTGCTTTCAATCCTTGTGGGTGGTCCTGAAGCTAACAGTACCAAAGGTTGCCAAAAGGTCCAGTAAAATGAGGGTGGCCATGCTCCCTCCATCTTGGCTTGAATCTACACTTGTGATAGTTCTGGATCATAAGCGTCTTCCAGAATGTTTTGGTTGCTCCACTGCTTTCTTTTTTAACATTAATTATATGAAAAGTTTTTTAAAGAGCAGATTAAAATCAACAAAAACTTAATATAAAGGGAGGAAAAAAGCTTCCAATTTTCTTTCCAGATATGATTACAAAGCCATCTCTTACTTTGTGCTTACAAAAAAAGAAAAGCTCACTTTTTATCGATTTTTTCCTAATTGTCGAAACCACAAATCATTTGCATTTTTTTCTGTGTTATACAAAAAGTCTACAAAGGGGATTGTCAGACAGCCATAAATGTAGATATTGGTTTTTTTTTTCTGTAGTCAAGGAAGTCAGCCTTTTCTGCAAGTCCATCCTCTTCACAATCATTCCTCCATTGTGGGTGGTGTTGAATCTTTCCACTTTAGAGCATATAGTAATCTCACCGCAATGGTCAAATAGGTTGCTGCACCACTTTCTCTTCAATGTGAAAGTTGGAAATTGAATGAAATATTTATATCCATTAGCATGTCCAACATTAGTGTATTTAGAGTAGATCTCTTAAGAGGGGGATGGATCAACCTCTTGTTAAGACTGCTGGAATTCACCTGTCTCACAGAGAGACATTGACAGTTCCTTGAATTTTGGCTGTTTAACCTGGCAGGAGATATCAGGGTAGATATCAAATCTACAAACGGGAGAGCTAAAACCGCAAGGAACCCTATCTCTTTTTTGTGAGTTCCACTGGTTTTAGAACTTTCCAGATAATATTACCAAATTAGATGAACTTTTGGCTGCTAAGCTTCCAACTCAGAGTGAATATGAGTGATTTTATTTATAAAACTGCTACTCACTAAAGTAGGAAGACATGATTTCAGCCAGCAAACATTCTGCAGATGCAATAGGGGAAGAAAATAAATTCTACTTCACCACTCTTAACGTCGCCGAGTAGCAGGCTTGTATTTAAGGGCATCCCTGTGTCCAGACATGTTCTCTCCTCATCTACCAACACAGTATTGCTCCAGGCATCTTGGAGCTCCCATATTTTCCTCTGCCTTTCACTCTTTGTTCTCTTGCATATATGTAAGAGAAAGGGTACTTGAGACAAGGATTGTCCATTTAAAGAGAATAATCCGGTATATTTATAAAATCAAATATTTGCTCTTGAATGGTTTCCATTGTTAATAATCTGATTTTGCTTTTTTCCCCCTGCAATGGTTTATTATTGTAGAAACTCAATTTGTACACACGGGTACATTTGAAGGTAAACGGAGTGGCACAATCAGGAGTTTGAGTCATTACAGCATGTTACACAGGCGCCCTCTTGTGATAATTGCGAAGAATAAACATATATGATGTATGTATATGTATACACACATACTCTTAAATACACAAGTGTACATGCACACAGACACACTGCCTCCCAATGCACAATTTTGAAGGCATAGAAAAAAATATGAAAGATGTTTATGTATCGCATAATTTAAATAAATTAAGCAGAGATATTTCTAACTTGTGCTTTTTATGATTTTTTTTTTTGCATAATAAGGAATAGGGGTAGAAGCCAGAACATTTTCCTGTTTTAAAACTCTATTTCAAACTGTTCAGAGTAAAAAATTCATTATATTTTTAAAGAAAACAAGCAGTAGTAAAGAATTCTCTTTGTCTCTTGCTGTGCTTCTTAACTAGACATGATGCATATTAATATAACAGGATGCTGAAAAAAAGGATACAGAGATGAAATTATCTATACTTCCACTGCCAGACTATTAGGCTCTTATTGTGAAACAAGGCCTGGTGACAAGGATTATTCTACCCTTTCAACTGTAACATGTTGTTGTTGTTATTGCTCAGCATTGAGACACAATAGGCTGGTTATGGGGTGAAGAAACACTATTTCCATTCACGCTCTCTTGGTCTCATAGCTGGGAAGAGGAAAAGCTGGTTTTATTTTTATTCGTTTGAAATGTATAAGCTGCCTCAGTCAGCACAGAAACTCTAGGCAATGTGCCACAAAATATACTTTGAAAACAATGTCAAAATGCACAAGCAAAATGGCATAATAATTAGATAATTACAATGCATCTGTTAGTCAATTAGTAAAAGCGGGGTCACAAATCACCTTGGCCAGGACCTGCTGAAAAAAATCAGGTCTTTAAGGGTTCCTTAAAGGACAGCAAGATTGTAGCTTCTGGACTTTGGGCAATAAACTTCCAGCAAGTAAGGGTGGCCACAGAGAAGGCCTTTGTTGAAGTACTGTTGCCTCTGGTGCCTGTGATCCTGCTGGGTCTTACCAGATGGATAGAAAGAGATAGAAAAAGGTGATCCCATAGGTATCCAGGCCCCAAGCCAAACAGAACTTAATAGATCCTTGAATTGTAGCCAGTAGCAAACCAGCAACCAATGCAGTTTGTGTCATAGAGGTATCACATAGATGGAATTAAGTCACCCCTGCCTTGGGACCAACTATAGTTTTTGGGTGGTCTTTAAGGGAAACCCTGCGTTCAGCATATTGCAGCAGTTCAAACAAGATGCAACTACCTATTTCACTCCCCCACACTCCTGGCCTTCTGGAATAGCCTTAAAAACTGGCTCTGCTTGGAGGTCTGTGGCCCCAATAGGGGCTGTCTATGCAGGGGGTGGCTGATGGGATAATCTTTCTTAATTTGTAATTATTTTGTATTATCTTTTTATTATGCTGCAAGACACCCAGAGTTGCTATAACTGTGAGATGTGTGGCATATAAAATACATAACTAACTGACTAACTAAATTAGAAACATTGTGAGTTGGGGAGCTGTATTTGTCAGCTCAGTAATCTTTGTGAAATTCTTAGACACCTTTACCACCCATATTATTCTGTACATTGGCTAAAAAAAGATTATAACAAAGTTCCTTCTTAATTTCTTTTGTTAGAATAACAGATGCCATTGGACCAACAGAAACCTCAATAGCACCACGTCAGAGACCAAAGGCCAATACGAGCACTGCCACTTCTAGTGTACTTACAATTCAGAGCTCAGCCACACCAGTAAAAGTGCCAGTTCCTGGTGATTTTAACAATGAACACAAAGGTAATTTCTCAAACTAATGCAGTGAACTGCAAGGAGCTTCTTTTGGTAACAAGTAGAAATCATTGTTACTTTATTCCAGAATTAGAAGGCACCAGCAGTTGTAAATGTGTAAGAATCAAGCAATTGTGGGGTTTCCCTATGCTTAAATGGATTTTAGCACAGTATGAGGGAAATTGCTACCACAGAGTTGTGAAAACGTGTTATTGTTTTGAAAAGCAATGCATCTAGTTAAAAATTTCTTTGTAGCAAACAGTTCACTCATCCCAAAATAAATGTAGTCTTGTTAATATTTCAGGAGATAATGTTACATTTCAAATAATATTGTGGAGTTCTTAGCAAAAACATTAATGTGCATTTTAAAATGTTCTAGGAGCCTCAAAGGTTGGAAATGGACACGAGAGCGTATTATCGCCGGGAACCCCACAGCAAAACAGAGTATTGCAACAACTGCAGCAAGGTGACTGGAGACTACAGCAGCTGCATCATTTACATCAGCAACAGCAACAACAACAATTGCTCCATGATTCATACGTGCAGCAGGTAACGTTGTGGTTGAGCTGTGACGTGTAATCGCGCTTTGATTTTGCCTCTTCTACTTTCTTTAAAACTTAAATCTTGTAACCTATCTGTCTTCCTTGCCATTTCGCAGAATGCTTGTTGATTTGTAATGCTCTGAATTTGTGTTGTGCCTGTTTGCTATTTCTAGCATTTTTATGTGGAGCGTAGAGAATGTGAAACTCAGAGTAGGAACAGCCCTCTAACCCCAACCCCCCCCCAAACTACCCTGTTTCCCCAAAAATACGACCTATCCCAAATGTAAGTCCTAGCTTGATTTTTACATGTACGCCCAATATAAGCCCTACCCCAAAATAAGCCCTACTTAAGACCCTGCCCACCCCAGGGTGCACGGGTAAAAATTAAGCTATGGGGGGTGGGGGTGGAGCTACCCTACTGCTTACCTTCGGACAGTTGCAGCCAGGCCTTGTACACCATGACACCTGCCTTGCCGGTCCATTTCTTCTGCCTGCAAGGCTTTCCTGAAGGCCTCTGCAACCGATAACAGAGCTGCAGAAGCCTTCAGGAAAGCCTTGCTGGCCGCAGAAGAAGTTTCTGAAGGCCTCTGACAGCGAAAAGGGGCTGGGGACGACGTATGCAAGTGAGTTGAGTCAGTGGATGACATCCCTCCCCAAAATAAGACCTGGTGCCTTTTTTGGTGGCCCCCCAAAAAAAGTAAGACCCGGTCTTATTTCCGGAGAAACACGGTAGCTTACCTTGAGTCTGTTTTGTTCACAGTAAAGATTTTAGCAATTACTAGAAAATTCCACTGTGGCTTCCCCTGATTTTTTTCCGAATTGCCAAAAACAGTTTTGTTTGTGGGTAAATTTCACTTGATTGAGCAGCATTTGTGATTTATGCAAATGTTTTCTTTTTCAATTACAGTATCAGCAAGCAATGCAGCAGCATGTCGTTCAACAGCAGCTTTTGATACGCTCTGGGTATCAGCAGCAGCCCCCTCCTCCATATCCTGCTATGGTAAATCACTTTGGGAAACCAAATAAAACCCATCTAGCTAAGAAAGGGAAGTTTGGACTGTAAAATAGTTAGATTGCGCTGGTTAACTTCATCTAATTTATTAGACTTTACTTAAAGTAAAACCATTTTGTAAAACCATTTCTTGTTCACTATAGCAAATCAATGAGTTGAGAGTGAATTTAACAGTATTATGTAAATAAATGAAACTCAGAATATATAAATCTAGTGGCTTTTAGCGGAGCCTCATGTTAAAGATATATATTCTCTTCTGGTTCCTTATTTTTCTGTGCTGCCATTTTTTTTTTACCTTGGCTTATAAAACAGTGAATACATGTGAAGAAAATGATACATCTTCAGTTTTCAATCCCTTCCATATTATTTAATTCCCATAATATTTAATTATAGAAGAAAAACTTTACTTCCTGAAAAACAAATTGTCTGTAAGGCTTTTTTGGTCAAAATAAATAGACATCATCCTCGACTTAAAACCGGAATTGAATCTGGAATTATGGTCGTAAGTTGTTGCAGTTGTAAGTCATGTGACTGAACATGTTTTTTTTGGCATAAGTGAATCCAATGGGCATTTTTTTGCTGGAAAGCAGAAGTAAATATTGATAACAGGAAAAATACCCATCAAAAAGAGCAATATTTGTTCAATATTGCATGTTTTTGATGAAGATTTCCCCCCACCCCCAAGAATGTGCTGCTACATCAATTTATGTTCATCATAATGTGGAACTAGATGAATAGGCATACTTTAATTGTGCTAATTATGTAACTATTAATTAACTGGTTTCATTTCCTACCATTTAATTTATTTTAACCGCTTGTTTGTTTTTTAATGCCAGTATAAATTCCAGATGTTTGTGTTTTTGTGTTAATTCAGTTAAGATGTTCATTTTCTGTACAAGGTATGATTGGGATTATTTGTTTAAGATTTACATGAGGTAGTGTTTTGTAGTTCTGACATTCTTCTCCTTCTCCTTTGAGATGCAGCAGTACCAACAAGCTCTTCTACAGCAACAGGTCCTTGGGAATCAGTTGCCACCACCGAAACGTTCTCCTGAATTTCTTACCTCTCCTCAGGAGTTTTCACCAGCCTTAATCTCTCATTCTAAATCCTTTCCAGCTCATGTTGGTGCAGCTCTGGATGCTCCTTATTCCACAAACAGGCAAGCTTCCTCAACTCATGTTTTTAATAACTATACTTAAAGAACCATCTCACTCCAATGGGATTGGCCAACCCCACTCAATCTGGCAGAAGGGGCAAGCTCTGGATCCTGTTAGCCAAGGAATTGCAGTTGGCGGGGTCTAGGAAAAGAGCTTTTCTGCCATGGTTTCTACCCTCTGGAATATCTTGCCCCTCGAGGTGAGATCCACTCCTATCTTCTTGGCCTTCTGGAAAAGCTTGACAACCTGTCTATGGAGATTCTCAGTCATCCAGGTCCTGGTTGTCCCAAAGGTGCTTTTTCAAGAGGCAACTGGACTTCCTTGGATTTTCTTTAAAAAAGCAGAAAGAAAAACCAGAAAGTCCAGTTGCCTCTTGAAAAAGCATCTTTGGGACAGCTTGACAACCTGTCTTTGCCAACAGGCTTGGGGCCTCAATGGGGGCATCCCATTTTGGAGGCGGTTAGTAGATTAGTAGAAGAGCCCACTTCCACACCAACTATATACTGGTTCTTTTTATCAGTTTGAATAATAATCTTGATGTTTTTAACTTTCAATACCCAATGTTTTAATCCTTCAATTGTGTTATTCTCTTATTTTTTATTATTATTATTATTATTATTATTATTATTATTATTATTATTATTATTATTATTATTTATTGAATTTCTATACCGCCCTACTCCCGAAGGACTCAGGGCGGTGCACAGCCATGAAATAAAACACATAGATATACAAAATTTAATTGTAAATGCCAAAAATTCTCAGAGATTCTCAGTCATCCAGGTCATAGTTATGGCATTGTAATCCACCCAGAATTGCTTGATAGTGAGATGGAAGGTGTACAAATTTAATAAATAAACCAAGTTATGTAGGCATACTTTTATGGTTGCATTTCTTCTTACGTTATTTATAGGACATCACTCCATTTTAATGGGGTATGTTATTCTAAAATAAAACATTTTGTAATACTTCAAATTCTAAAGGGTCTTGTTCTGCATCGTGTCAGGGTCCCAAGTAATAGACCTATAGCAAGCAAAAGTTCGAGGCAGGTATTCCACAAAGAATAGCTTTATTGGATGTATCATATTGGCACAGATCAGGTAAAAACTGCCGGAACCTTCAGAGCCTGTTTTCACCTACTTAAAATTAAATTAAAAGTGTTTCACTTTCTCAAAACAATCCGTCACATGGTCCAATCACAGCTCTGTCTGGTTGCCTGGTGACATCACTCCTCCTTCCTCTGACCAGGTGTGAGAATGTCCTTGGTTCCCAAGAGAAAGTATTTTATTTTGGCTACAAAACCCTAGCTATATCTAAACCCCCCCACTCCCATGCCTCAGCTCCAGTGTGGCAACACTGAAGCTCCAAGATGGTACTTAATGTTCTACATTGTGTTTGATGACATTTAATGTGAATTAAAATAACCTGAAGGGTGCCTGAAGTCATTTTCTCAATCAATTCCTACAGATCATCTTCCTCTGACATGGAGTCTGTTTCCAGCTATCCGAAACAAAACATCAGCAGTCCCCCTGATATGTCTGGGTGGAACCCTTTTGGAGAAGACAACTTCTCCAACCTGACAGAGGAGGAGCTGTTGGACAGGGAGTTTGACCTTCTGAGATCAAGTAAGGGACGCTTGAAGGCTTATTTCGCTTCACAATAAGTAAAAAACGCTCTTTAGGTACAGATGACAGTGCTGGAGACTGTTTTGTTCAAGGGCCACACAGTCTGTTGTAGAGAGAACTCTTTCTGAGCATTTGAGGGCAAAACTAGACCTGCCGTGTGACTTGTCTTTCTGTCACAAAAATAAAAAATAAATAAAATGTGTGCAATAGAAATAATTTTAACATTTTGCAAAAACCACAGAAAACGTCAGGGTCGTATGTTGAATAATTACTTGAATGTTAAATGCGAATGCAAAAAAAATAAAAATAAAAATGCTTGTGTAACCCTGCAGAATACCAGTTAGCACTGTGCATTGCTTCACTTGGCAGTTTTGTTCTTTTGCACACTGGAAGAGGAGATTCTATGGGTCTGAAAATGCCTTTTGAAAGTGCCTGAAAGAGGGGAAATGACCTAGTACATTATGTTAATGTTTTGTAATGTATTTTGAGTAGCTTAATGTTAAAGGCTGCTTTATTGTTCTAAATAACAATATTTGAATAAAATACCAAGTCAAAAAGCCAGTGTGTTTACTTGAAGTTGCTTCCCCTTACTATATTACCTATATTGTTCATTTTTGCGGAGATGAATTGTGGAGAAAACACAGAATGCTGTGAAGAATAAATCGATTCTAAACTTGGTAAAAGGCAACCTAACCAAAATATAGGTGATGAAACTAATAATGCATCTTACTGTTTTAATTGGAAGCGTTACTGTCATGAAAGGCTTGTGGTTCAATTTAGACATGTAGCATCCCAGAATTAACACAAACTTCAACTAAGGTTCTCTCTTACGCCCTTCATATGTGAACTAAGAAGCTTAAATCTGGGCTTTCTTTGTTACGTGGCTAAAATAATGGATAATGTCATTGATTGTCATTGAAACATTGCCATCTTATGAGCTGTAGTTTTGATAGGCATATTATTAACATGATGGGCTGACTTCTGAAAGATTACAGTTAAACTGAATCCTTAAATATGAATAAGTTTAATTCATATTGCCAATTGTCTTTTATTTTCTGTTTTAACACTTTGTTAAAATATAACATTTACTGTATTGTTGTATATTTAACACATGTAACTGAATTCAGGAAGGCTACAGAGAAACTGTTACAGGACCTTTGATAGGTGCCAGTATTAAATGAATGTTGAGTTTTACTTGGTTTACCAAACAATTATTTGATTAAAAATGAATCATTTATAATATCTATTCCATCTTCCACAAAGTTATAAATGCAAAGGAGTAAATTTTATTCCTTAAGCAACTTGATAAAATTGGATAACTTCATATGATAGAATATCCACACGAGGATCAACCATAATTGGATTTTAAATTTCTTTGTGTTTTATGGTTAATTTTTTTCCAAATGTTTTCTTGTAAATTAAATGGGAAATTTTTTAATGTTTTGCAAAAGTGCAAGAAAGTCGAACAGAAAGCTTTAAACATTTAGTAATTTATTAAAAACCTATGTATTAAGTTGAAAGCAGTAGTTTTATAATTCATAGTTTTGCACTGTTTTTTAGTTTATTTGGAATGTATTTACTCTGTAAATTTTCAAAATGCTTCCCTTTGAAGGAGCCATGATAAAACATTTGCTTTTCCTCTTCTCTGAATAAATGTTTCAACTTCTTCTCAAATGCTTTTTGTTATGTACTGGAATGTCCTTTTCATAGCATTGGAAACATATAACATTTTGATATCTGTTTTGGGGCTGCTTACCTAAAGAGCACACAATAAAAATTCAATATTACTAATAAAGTATTTAATCACCCTGGAAGAAATCTATGATAAATGTGTAAATAAATATGTAAGAGTTGAAAGGATTTCACAAAATTTCTTGCTTCTCAAACCACAATTAGATCTAGAATTACTTTCTTGGCCCTACCTATTGATATTAACTGAAGATCATTCCCCAAACTGTATTTCAGCCATTGGAAGTTGTGCTGTTAGTAACTGAATTGCAGTTCTGACTTGAAGCAAGAATTGGATTTAAAATAGACCCAATAGATTTATAGCATTCTTGTTGCACTTTGTACAGTTCCAGCAATCTCCACAGTAAAAAACTGATAATGAATATAATATCAGGGTTAGTGATGTGGGAAAACCCAGTTTTTTTTCTTCCAAAGTACTTGTTTTCCCCTTAATTATTTAAGTAACTGAAGAAACAAATGCAATTTATTCCATTTTGATAAACAAGTGAACTGAATTACTGCTTGAAAAATTTGGATTGTGAACAGTACAAGGATCTGAGGCTTCCTGTAGTTACAGAATTGAAATATATAAATGTAAAGTTTTTTTCTTTATTCATGAGAATGTTGTCTTCCAAACTCACTTTTTGTACCTATAAGTACACCTACTAAGATAAAATTCCAGTATTTATCCTGTGACATTGTACTGCAAAGGTCTCTAAATTTACTTCTGTATAATTAATAGTAGATTCAATCAAAAATGCAGAATAAACAATCCGGTAGGATGTTTTGATTATCCATTCTTGCATATCCTGAATGAACAAAAGATAATACAGTAATTATGATTTAGTTATTATACTGTTAAGTTTTTAAAATCTGTATGTAGCAGAGAAACATTTTTGTACTGAATAGAAACTCTTGGAATATGCCAATTCTTTTTCAGTTTCCTTTCTTGTAGAAAAGGAGAAATAATACCAAAGGACCCTTAAGTATAATTCATTTTTCCAAGACTTGACTTAGGTAAAAAAAGAAAAAAAAGAAAAAGTCTTGCATGAAGAATATTCATTTGCTGTGATTGAAGGTTGAAAGTTAAGCGTTTTATGTTATTCTTTGTAATATGTATTTTAATTACAATTGTCTTTTGTTTTCTATATCCCTACATGGTGTTGATTCTGTGAATATTTTATTTTTTAATTTGTTTGACTCTTGTACAGGCTAGCTGGCTTTGATCACTGGGGCCCAGAGAAAAACTTATATTGTTTTAAATTGCTTTAAAAACTGATATAGCTGTCTTCTTGAATGACATTTATAAGGAAAGTTTTAAATTGATTATAAATATTCTACCTTTACTCTTCAGTGAAATTTCATTCACAAAAGGATCCTGTCCAAAAAAAAAAAAAAAAAAAAAGCAGATACAATGTTATTGTTTGAAAAGTTAGGTTTAGCAAGAAACCATGTGGGCAAAACTGATGCTTTGTTAGTTTTCAATTGTTTTAGAAAGAAATGGGTCTCTTTGATTTATAGAAGAGATAATCCGTATCCAGCTAATGGCTCAGATCTACATAGGAAAGATATTCTCACATTTTGGGCTCTTCTGAAAAAACGATTCTTGCACTTTGAGAAATGACCAGGCTCTAGCCAGAGAGGGAATGGGCTGAGGCAGTTTGCACAAGCTGGAATTTAATTTTGACAGGTGTTTCTCATGCATTGCTAGGACAGAGAATAGTTCTGCGGGAGAATGATGAAAGAGTAAAAATGAAACATGAAACCCTACAGAATTCTGAATTAGTATGAAATAACAACAGTGTCTTTTCATGCAGAACCTAGCCTTTAAAGTATTTGAACCTGACTAAGAAGTAATCCTGGAAAAACTCAGAAATTAAACAATCATTATTTTGATTTCTTGAATTTCTTTACCCTTTTATTAATGCATGTTGTCCTGTGGCTGCTGCACAACCTGTGATGTCTCCTTGGCTTGGATATTTATTAAATTCCGGACAATTTTTTGGAAGCAATAATTAAATTTGTCCCTTAGTTCAACTAAATGTTTGGATTAAAAATTGAGGTATTTTTTTGTTCGTTTGTTTGTTTCTGTTTGTTACCCTTCTGCAATTTATTTCAGAAGGGTTGCAGGAAGAATTTTTGGATATTATTTCCACGAATGAAAAGAACTTTTATTAAATACAAACGTTAAACCGGCTTAAAAGTTGCCATTTTTGTTTTACTTTTGTTTTTGTTTTTGTTTCGTTTTTATTTTTGCAGACAGGCTGGCGGAGAAGAGAACTTCCTTAGATAAGCCAGTGGAGTCACATTCTGCTCCACTGACCCATCCTCCAGAAGATCCCTTTGGTTCTGTTCCTTTCATTTCACACGCAGGCAAGTCACATAGTATACCATGACTTTATTTTTATTTTTTTTACGTGTAAATTTATCTTGATAGAAAGGAAATGGGGCTGGTTCAGTGGTATAAGTTCTTCCCTATGATCAATTAGAGAACCAAATAGATCAGGGGTGTCAAACTCGATTTCATTGAGGGCCACATCAGGGTTGTATTTGACTTCGGGGGCCGGGGTGGGCATGGCCAGCTCAGTGTCACTTGTGTCGGGGGTGCCTGTGGTGGCCCGATTGCTCTGCCAGTGAAAATGGGTCCCAAGCTCCGTTTTCACCTGCGATGGCCTCCTGCAACCCTCTGCCAGTGAAAACGGAGCTCAGGAGGGCCACCCGCGGCCTTCGTGAGCTCCATTTTCGGCTGTGATGGCCTCCTGAAACCCGTTGCCAGTGAAAAGAGAGCTGTGGAGGGCCGCATATGGCCCCCATGAGCTCTGTTTTCGCTGGCAGAGGCATTGTGGGCTGGTCCTTCACTTGTTTCCAGGGTTGCCCTGTGGGCCAGATCTAAGCACTTCGCGGGCCAGATCCGGCCCTTGGGCTTTGAGTTTGACACCCCTGACATAGATTATTCCCACTGTTTTCTTCCTGAACACATTTGATAGACTATTTTTTCTTTTTTTGGCAAGTCAACTCGCAGGTAGTCCTTGACGTAAGAGCCCAAAATTTCTGTTGCTAAGCAAGACAGTTTTTAAGGGGCAGCCCATTTGACATCCTTTTTGCCACAGTGGCATGACTCACTTAACAACTTAAGTTGTTAAGTGAGTCATGCAGACGTTAAGTGAATCCGGCTTCCCCATTGCCTTTGCTTGTCAGAAGCCGGCTTGGAAGGTTACAAATGTTGGTCACATGACCCTGGGCATGAGTACATGCCAGTTGCCAAGCGCCTGAATTTTAATCATGTGACCATGGGGTTGCTGCAATAGTCATAAGTGTAAAAAAAAAAACCCCAGACATGTCACTTTTTTCAGTGCTTTTGTAACTTCGAATGGTCACTAAATGAATCATCGTAAGTCAAGGACTACTTGCGTGTTCTCTATATCCCACTGAGAGTTAAATGCAGTGTTCAGACACACATTCAGGAGGCAGTCTACTGATTTTGTGGTTTATTATGAGAGCTGTGGTGGCGCAGTGGTTAGAATGCAGTACTGCAGGCTATGTCTGCTGACTGCCGGCTGCCTGCAATTTGGCAGTTCGAATCTCACCAGGCTCAAGGTTGACTCAGCCTTCTGTCACCCCCCCCCCGCCCACCTTCAAACACTCACATCTCAAAGTAGGTGAGGCTTAGGCAAAAGAACGCAAAAAAGAAAGGGAAATTGAGAAATAATATTGGTCAGCCTGAGGGGTAAACCAACATTTATATCCAAATTGGCTCTACTAGTGGAGAAATAACCTACCCCAATGTTTCTCAACCTTTAAGGTGTGCGGACATAAATTCCCAGAATTCCCCAGCCAGCATAGGGAATTCTGGGAATTGAAGTCCACACACCTTAAAGTGGTCAAGGCTGAGAAATACTGATCTCTACCCAGTAACCCCTAGGCACAAATATCAAAAAGTGCTGACTTTTCAGTCCGAGATTAAATAATTTCCTGATAGTTCTGCGTTCTGTGTCCGATTATTTGGCTCTTCTTTTTGTCAGATGTACATTTTGGGAAGCAGCTGATAAAATCTCCCGGGATCTCTTCAGTACAGTGGTAAAGGCCCAATTATGCATTGTTGCAAATTCCCCAGGTGAAAAGGAAGTCGCTAATACGGTGTCTGAATAAATCATACATATATTTCTTGTGCAATTAACGTCCCCCTGGCAAAACAAACCCCCAAACAAAAGAGTTTTTGCGTGTTCCTTTGTATGCTAATCAGTTTCTAATTCAACATCAGTTTGATAATGTAATTTGAATTGATGACTTTATCATGTACCAAACAGGATTGCAGGTAGTCCTGTTTTAGCAACTGTCTAATTTAGCAACTGTTTTCACGTATAATGATGAAAAAGTAACATTTTGATGAATCCCCACATTGCAAGTCTGTAAAACAATGGAAAGATGAAGTGAGGTCATAAACGTTTTCCCTTAGGGACCATTTCACTTAACAACTGAATAGCTGGTCCCCATTGTGATCCCTAAACAAGGACTGTTCTTTTTCTTGAACGTTTTTTACACTGTCTTATAAAAATATAATAATAGAGAAAAAGAAAGAAAATAATATCTAAGAATCACAGCGCAACAATAAAAGGATAAATTTATTAAATGCAATATGATTCTTAAAATTACAGGTAGTCCTCGATTTATGACCACAATTGAGCCCAACATTTCTGTTGCTAAGTGAGACACTTAAGTGAGTTTTGCCCCATTTTACCACCTTTCTTGCCAAAGCTGTTAAGTGAATCACTGCAGCTGTTAAGTGAGTAACACAGTTGTAAAATGAATCTGGCTTCCCCATTGACTTTGCTTGTCAGAAGGTCGCTAAAAGTGATCACCTGACCCCGGGACACTGCCGCCGTCATAAATATGAGTCAATTGCCAAGCGTTTGAATTTTGATCACATGACCATAGGGATGCTGCAATGGTTGTAAGTGTGAAAAACAGTTAAAAATCAACTTTTTTCAGTGGCATTATAACTTTGGTCACTAAATGAACTGTTGTAAGTTGAAAGCTACCTGTACAACGTTCTTACAGATCTTCTACAGTTTGAGGGAATAGCTGGCTCTAAGAAGAAACTGGCAGAGCTGGATTCCTGGAGGAGGTCATATAAACAAATCCATTACGGTGTGCAGTATTACATAGGAAGGTTAGCCAATATGTACAGGTAGTCCTCGACTTACAACAGTTCATTTAGAAGACCGTTCAGAGTTACAACATCCCCGAAAAAGTGACTTACGACCGTTTTTCACACTTACGATCATTTCTTATCTCGTGGATAGGGAGACGCTGCCCTCTTCTGTAAGAAGGGAGTTTGAAGAAAGAGCAGAACCCATTTTCCTTGAAAAACAAGTTTAGAAGCAGTGGATTTGCATAAGCTGACTAGGACAAGTTGAACAAAGAGCTTTCTTCATTCATGAACACAATGGGTGTTTCTATCGATGGTAGAATGAGGTTTTATATTATATGGAAATCTGCACAACCTCATAAACAATATCATGAACACTTCTTCCAAATATTGACTTGATTACTTTCTATAATTCTACCTTTAAAATATGTGGCTTATTAACTGGGACTAAATCTTTTATATGTCTTCACAGTAAGCTTACAAATCCAAATGTTGTCTGAATTATTTTCAATAGAAAGAACTCCATTAATCAGCAAAAGGTAACACAGGCCAGAGTTTACTTCTTCTGGCAAAGTATCCTCCCCCTCCCCCCCCATTCCTGAACATTACTACCAAGCACTGAGAAAATTGAGAAAACCAATAACACCCTTGCTGTTTTTCTTTTAAAAAAGTGAATGATTGGGGAATGTGCCTAAAAAGCCTCTCTTCCCTGGTTTGAAACTGGACTTCAAGCCTCTGAATTATTTGTTCATAATTTAGTCTGTTTCATAATTTAGAGTAATACTCGGCTAGTAATAACTACCTTTCTGAGCCATTTAGAAATGGAGGAGTATTTAAATATGATCAAAAGCCAACTGGAGAACATACGTCATCTAAACCATGATTGTCCAATCTTTTAGCTTGCCAGGACTTGCTTTGAGTGAGGAGGAATTAACATACTTCCTTTTTAAAAATATTTTTTTATTATCTTAAGGGGCCGCATTACTGGTTGATCAAGGTTACATGTGATCTTTGGACCACAGGCTGGGCCCACCTGGTGTAGGCCAAAGATTCTTATACATAAACTAGGGATTATTGCTTATTATTCTACATAGAATTCAAACTGAGACCGATTTTATTCCTTTAAAGGCAGGTTTGAAATGCTTGAAATAAATACCAGTGCTTAATACAGGTAATCCTTGACTTACAACAGTTCATTTAGTGACCAATTGAAGTTACAACATCGCTGAAAAAAGTGATTAACGACTGTTTTTCACATGTACGACTGTTGCAGCATCCCCATGGTCACATGATCAAAATTTGAAAGCTTGGCAAGTGGTTCATATTTATGACGTATCCCGAGATCATGTGATTGCCTTTTGCGACCTTCTGACAAGCAAAGTCAGTGAGGAAGCCAGATTCACTTAACAATCGTGTTACTAACTTACCAACCGCAGCAATTTACTTAACAAGTGTGGCAAGAAAGGTCGTAAAATGGTGCAAAATTCACTCAACAAATTCTCTCTTAGCAACATAAATTTTGGGCTCAATTATGGTCATAGCTTGAGGACGACCTGTACCTAGATCAGCCATTTGATCTGCCATTCATTCCCTGTTTGAAAAAAAAGAGATAATTTTCTCAAAAATATTTCTCCTCGATGATTAACAGTTACCAGGATGGTAACTGTTACCAGGATGGTAACTCAGAATGGAAAAGATTCCCTATGTCAGTATTCCAAACACTGCAATACAGAAAGCGGGTGAATGGAATGAGGGAAATGCAGTTTGACTGTCCCTTAAGTTAAAAACACTAAGCAAAACACTAAATCTCTTGACAGCGTTCAACATCTGCCTCTCTTTCTGTTGTTGAAGACTGCAGATTTAGTTGACATCTCTGGCAATCCTTGAGCTAACATGTGGCGGATTGCTGGGGAATGATGACAGCAGTATGTTCCCAATTCAGGAAGAGCTTTAAAAATGGTTATGCCCATGGGTTTCTCCCAGTTTTTGAAATGATGAACTAGCAGAAGGCATGTAATTACTACAGTTGTTACAAGCCATTCATCCTCTTATAATCGGATGTCTAGAAAATGAACACAGGAACAGAATTTTTTTTTTCCCCCTTGAAGATTGGGATCTTAATGATTAAAGATGTTCTACCTGCATTGGATTTGAGGGCAGAATTACAGCCTGGTACAAGAGGCAAACCTGATTAGAAGTGATATAATCTGCACATTTTCTTGCGAACAGATGTTACGCTGCCCAGTTCTGAGCTGTTCATAAATGCAGATTTGAAATGTCCATTGGAGCAGTTTTGAGATTACTTCGATCAAATCTTTTTCTACATGTTGTGTATTACAACATTATTATGGCATTAATTTAAAAGTGAATTTGAAATTTCTCTTTCTCGGGCTTTTGATAAATGTAAGAATATTAAATGGGGGGGAAGGTTGACATAGGAAGTTGAATTGGGTTAAGATATGGATTTGGTACCTCTTGTGTGCATATACTGTATTTAAAGTAGCATTATGCTAGAACTGCTGTTGAGTTAATATCTGGATTCATTTGGGCTTAACTGTTTTTTTTCCTCTGTAAACTGAATGCTCAAAACAGAGAAGTAGTTTTAGAGCAATTTATGAGTTACCTGATTTATATGTTATCTGAACCAAGCAAATGTTACATGTAACAAATTATCTTCCTGATATAAAGGGAAAGTACGTCATCTTTTAAGATAAATATTTATATATAGATAGATAGATATAGATATATGAATTTAGCTGTTTTCAGTTATACAAATAGAAGTATGCCCATATTACCAACAGTTTTAAAGTTGGTATTTAAACAAAAATAATTATGCTCATTTTAAAATAATAAGTTTTTAATTTGAAAGAATAATAATTTCTGTAAGCAATTTTAGCATATAAGGATACGTTGAAATGGATTTCTGAAAGTTCTTTATTATGACTGTTACTTTGGGGGAATACTCTCACATCAAGAAAGTGAATCTACATATTCATATGACTATAAAGTCCAGTGTATGAAATGTAGCACAACATATTACAGTATCACACTTGAAAAACAGTTATTAATGTTTTTCCATTTTTAAAAAATGGGTGGTTCCCCCCCCCAAATTATTTTTATGACTATTTGCGGGATTGGATTATTACTATAGCAGTCTGCCCCTATACCTTCTTCCCTGTTTCTATTAATTACTTCCTTAGTTTGGGATATTGTTGAAGTGTAACTTTTGTGGTAGAGTACATTAATACTCATTTGTTGTCAGTAAATGTTTTAGTGCTTGTCAGGGAGATGAAAAAACTTTAGATCAAATCAATGTAATATTGTAAGGGGAACTTTTTCTTTTAATGTAAAGGAGAACAATCTTAGAAAGGGAAATTAATAGAAATATGCTTACTTTCAAAACACCTTGATTAAAAAACACATTTCTTTGATTAATTACTGTACTGGGTGGAATGAATCCCACTCTTGAATATTTTATGAACAATATATTATTACTAGGATTTTTTTCCCTTGCTCTTTTGTCTTGGAAGGCTCCCCACATAGTATATTACAAAGAGCAATAATTACCAGGCTTACAAAATATGCAATACTGTGCAAAAAAAAAAGAGGAAAAGGAATGGGAAGGCAGAAGAATGAAAAATGAAAATAGATACTATTTTCTACAGTTCACAGGCTAGAAGGAATGGTTAAAATATTTTGCCTTGATGGTTGATTGATGACTTATAGGCATGAATAGAGCAGGTTGTAACCACATCAAAGGCAGCAGCTAAGGGTTAAACATGTACTATATATGTTTGATATATCTATGGTACATGTGGATATTAATCTTAGAAAACCGTGGATAGAAAATTATCCCCCCAAATGCTGATAAAATATTGAATGCAACAAAAACAATCAGTATTGGCTATTTAATACTTAGAGCAGGGATTTCTCAACCCCCGGGCCATAGTCCGACACCTGGCCACGAAACTGGGCCGTGCAAACAAGTGAAGCCCCATTCAGGCAGCATGTGAAATCATACCTTCTCAGGTCCATGGAACCGGTCCCTGGTGCCCAAACGTTTGAGGGCCGCTGACTTAGAGAACATAAACAGTTCTAATGTTGTGAAGAGAGTAAAGAATAAGATAGGTTTTGTCTCAAAAGACTTGGAATCTAATAGATATACTACAAAAGGAAACAGGAAGAATGGATGCCTGGTACTTTCTTTGCTTCACAGTGGCCTTGTTACAGATTTTGGTCAGTTAGATGGGTCCAGATGTACTAATCTGTTGCTCTTTCGACTCAAAAAGCAATCACAGCAGTTAATCCAAAGCTCCATTTATAGGAAACCAATAACTGGGAAGCACGGTTTAAATACAAAGATACAGTTTTCCATATTGTAAGGAAAATAATTTCTCCTTAACAACAGTTTGATGAGTGAAATGAGACAGAAAGTTTCCTTGATGTGTTGAGATAAATAATGCTAGCTTCACATGTAAATGGATCAAAGCTAAATCGGTCACTAATACCATAGGGGAAAAAAAATACAGTATATAGTTGATTCAAAGTGTAAATATCAGCCTGGTATACTTTATGGGAATATTAAGAGAGCAAATAAAATTGATCAATAAAGGGGTATATTTTATTATGTAAAGATTTAGGTGAAATCTGAAACACGTTTGCTAGGTATTAAATTGTATGGATTCTTAATGGAATTCTTAATAAACAGATACAGAGCTGTATTGCTAGAATGCTGCATGCCAAACTCCAATTAGCTCCAAAGGAGTGCGTTTTCAGGACAGAAAAGCGTGTGGAAAGGACAAAATGACTAGAGAGTGAAATATATCATGAAGGAAATGTCAGCTTCGGATTGTTTATCTTCAGTGTGTGAAAATAAGTGGTGCCGGGATGTGGGACAATCCAAACTGGAAAAAACCATTCAATAATGAAATAGAAACATTTCTAAATAAGCATGTGATCAGGAATGGCATTACAAACATAGTTAAGTACAGTACTTCAGTACATTTCCTTTTAAAACTGTTTGACTTACTGTATATAAATAAGAAGATAAGAGAAAGTGCTGACCTCCATTATAAAGTCCCTACTCAGAGAACGCAAAATGATGGTTGGTGGGAAGACATCTGTTGATGGTTTAGCAGAGGAGTTGCTATTGAGAATGAATGTACTAATAGTAGGATATGCCTTTTATGGCTGTAAGGCAGGGGTGAAATCCAGCAGGTTCTAATAGGTTCTGGAGAACCAGTCGTGGAAATTTTGAGTAGTTCGGAGAACTGGCAAATACCACCTCTGGCTGGCCCCAGAGTGGGGAGGGAATGGGGATTTTGCAGTATCCTTCTTTCAGGAGTGAGGAGGGAATGGGGATTTTGCAGTATCCTTCCCCTAGAGTGGGGTGGGAATGGAAATTTTGTAGTATCCTTCCCCTGCCATGCACACCAAGCCACACACACAGAACCGGTAGGGAAAACTTTTGAATTTCACCCCTGCTGTAAGGCTGAATTAAAATTCTAGTTTCTGCTTTTTTGTGAGTCTAAGAATCGTAGCTTGTCCAATTGTACAGTATAATGTAAAAGAATGTATTATATATATGTGTGTGTGTGTGGAGGTGTGAAACACTGATTTGAAATTGAAGTTCTTTTGCCTGTTCTTCATCCTTTCAGGCTCCCCAGGAAATGAAATTAATAACCCAGCCAGCAATCTAGAAAACACGTTAGAGAGTCTTTCTAAGTATGAGAGGTCAAGCCAGGTTGTCAAGGACCAGGATGCTGGAAAGAAGGCTGTGGAAGCACCTGCTAAGAAAGGAAACGATGAATCGGAGAGTGATTTTGAATCTGATCCCCCTTCTCCAAAGAGTAGTGAGGAAGAGGAAGAACAAGAGGACGAAGAAGTCTTGCAGGGTGAGACTGGAGACTTCATTGATGACAACGATACAGAGCCAGAAAACTTAGGCCAGCATCCTCTTCTCATGGATTCTGAAGAAGATGTAGAAGATGACGATAAGCACAGTTCTGACTCTGACTGTCACCATTTTAGGCCTGCAGAAGAGGTACCTTGCGACAGATACAGAGAAGGACCTGGCAATATAGAAAGCAGAGAGATGATTCTTCCCTGTCCTTCATTGACCAAGTTCCCGGGTTCCAGTTTGAGCCCCAAACAAGAATTCGATGTCTTTGGAGCGGTTCCGTTCTTCGTTTTGCAGCCCCAGGAACAAAAGGATACTTCTTCCCACGTCGCCCATCCAGAACAAGACCAGGACGACTTCGATGTCTTCACCAAAGCCCCCTTCAGCAGAAGAATATCTCAACAAGAGGATTCGATCCCAGGCTCAGAACCTCAAATGTCTCCCGTTTCCCCCAAAAGCGTGGACGTTTTTGGCTGCATCCCGTTCCAGCCTGTTTCCATCCAAAGCTTCCACGGTGAAGCAAGAGAGGATCTGTTCGGGCTCATCCCGTTCGAGGAGATCACCGGGGGGAGCCAGCAGCAACACAAGGCGAAACAGCAACAACGGAATCTGCAGAAACTCTCTTCCCGTCAGCGGCGCATGAAGCAAGAGGGGTCCAAGAGCAATGGCAAGCGCCATCATGGAACCCCCACCAGCACCAAGAAGACCCTGAAGCCCAGTTACCGGACGCCAGAGAGAGCCCGAAGGCACAAAAAGGCCGGCCGCCGAGATTCCCAAAGCAGCAACGAGTTTCTGACCATTTCTGATTCCAAGGAAAACATAAGTATTAGCCTGTCGGATAGCAAGGACAGAGTCAATCCCCTGCAGGGTGATGACAATCTCCTGGATCCCTTTGGAGCCAAGCCTTTCCATCCTGCCGAAGGGCTACGTCTCCCCCAACACCAAGGATTGGCTGACAATCGTGGGGATCACAACATGGCAATGCTTGGGAGACCTAGGCAGAGCTCCTTACTTGGCAGCATTCATTCTGGCGACGGCGTAAAATTAACAGATGATTTTGGAGCAGTTCCTTTCACCGAACTCGTGCCAAGTGTGAAGTCTCAACAGAGCCAGCAGCAACAGGCAGTAGAGTTAGATCCATTTGGGGCAGCTCCGTTTCCTTCCAAACCGTAGACTCTTTTTTAGGAACATCTGAATTCTTTTTTTTTTTTAAACAACCTTGGATTTAATATGCCACTCTAATCCATTTACTTTGGTTGAGAAACAAATGTTTTGTTTTTTTTTAAATCCGCTTATTTCTCTGCTGTGACTCGACAATGTTAAAGATGCAAGATCAGGATGATACAACGGTGAGAAAAGTTTGAGTAGAGAAAATCTTTCCAAAAGTTAGATCAGAAGATAGTAGCTATCACTGAGGATATTGGCTACGACTAGAACAGGGGTCTCCAACCTTGGCAACTTTAAGACTTGTGGACTTCAACTCCCAGAATTGGACTTGTGGACTTCAACTCCCAAAAGCAAAACTGGCTGAGGAATTCTGGGAGTTGAAGCCCACAAGTCTTGAAGTTGCCAAGGTTGGAGACCCCTGGACTAGAACATTCAGAATTGTATCCTTTATAGAGTGCAATTACACTTCAATTGATGGAAGCATCAGACCGGGTTGAACTAATGAAATGGGACCTTATCAGTCAAAAATCAAGAAAACGTCTGAAAAAAGCCAGGTTTATTTAGAACTGCTTCATTGTACCTGTTCTAAAGGGTTTTTTTTTTTTTTTAGAAAAACACTCTCCTCTTAACATTTCTGAAAATCAGAGCTTGCGGTCTTGATACTGGTTCCTAAACTTACATGAAGAAACCCAAATCTTTCTATCTGCCTGAACTGTGCTTTTCCACAGTAAGTGCCATTAATATAAAACAGGGATTGTTGTAATTCTTAGGATTTCAAGAACTTAGTTGGGGATGTTGGAAATGGGAATGGAACGAGAAAGCAGCAGCACTAACAGTTAGCTTCTTGCAGCACTTTGAAGATTGCCATTTCAAGAAGAGAGCGTGGTTTACTTGCATACCATACCAACCCAGAGAGAAGATGGGGAAAACAGCCAGAAAATTGTAGCAAATTCAGACCTATAAAGAGTTTAAATCAGAGTTTTTACCCCATGTCTGCTCGCTTTACTGGGGTTTTGTATTTCATATAAACTGTATGTACCCCACAAGGTTTTTAATCTTCTAAAATGGTTCTCACCTGATTTTTGAATGCTTTCTGTATTACATGATTGTACTTTTGTAAGACTTTATACAAAACACACCGATCAGTTTTCAACAAAAGGAGGTTTAGAATGGAAGGCTTAAAAATGATGCTCTTTTGAGTCTCTTACCATTACCGCAGAGTAAAACCAGCAATGCCTTAACAGCCAGGACCACGTCCTGATATAAATTTACCTCTTGAGCCAATTGGTGCCCTTGAGACACAGATTGTAACATTTGTAGAACTTCGGTGAGTAGACAGTACATTTTTGGAACTTTCAATCTGAGCAAAGGAATTTCTAATGTCTTCATTCGCTGTTGGTCATTCTAGGGGCAGCTGTGTTTGTTCAAAATAGCCATTTTGATGTCCTGCAGTTCCTTTTCGGTTTCGTGAAAATGGGTGTCTTTGAAGTGAACATAGTAAAACATTTTGTCACAAAGAATGGCCAGGATCCAGAGATCATGGCAGGATCTTTTTGGAGTATGTGTGTGTGTGTCAATCAAAAATTGCTAAACGTCTAGCACAGGGGTGTCAAACTCAATTTCATTGAGGGCTGCTTCAGGGTTGTGTTTGACTTTGGGGGGCTGTGGTGGGTGTGGCCAGCTCAACATCACTTGGGGGCACCTCTGGAGGCCCGAGCGCTCTGCCAGTGAAAACGGGCTCCTGAGCTCCGTTTTCAACTGCGACGGCCTCCTGCAACCCTCTGCCAGTGAAAACATAGGGAGGGCGGGCCGCACGCAGCCCTCCTGAACTCCGTTTTCACTGGCAGAGGCACAGTGGGCCAGTCCTTCGCTGTTTCCAGGCCAGATGTAATCACCCCGTGGGCTGGATCCAGCCCCCAGGCCTTGAGTTTGACATCCCTGGTCTAGCAGAATGCTTGCATGACAAAGAGGAATCCATTCTTAAAATGTGAAAAGTTTCAGTAACCGTTTCTCTCATTAAACGAATGAAGGTTGACATCTCCGGATCCTTGCATAGACATTCACATATATATGAATTTGGACTGTAGAAGCTACGTGACCTTAACTATAGCTGGTTGAATTTCCTTAAAAGATACCAAGTAGTTGGTTTTTGCCATCCAGTTACTGTATTGAAGCGCAAAGAAAATACAGTAACTTTTGGATAATTTGCAAACATAATAAATGTGAAGATAGAGGTTTAAGATCCTTTAACTGTACTTCAAAGTTTTGAAAAAATATGTAGCATTTTAATCATTCTTTGAAGTTAATAGTTTCAAGTTCTTGCTAAATGTGCTTCTAGAAGTGAAGTCCATCTCTTCGCATGGTTTGAAACCCATATCCCCCCCCCAAAATTAGATGTCTGTCTTATTACACTAAATATTGTGTAAAGATCAGTTAAAAATCAGCTGTGCATGTGCCTCAGAAGGCCTGTTCCTTTATTTTTGTGCCAAAGCCTCAAGACATAATGTGTGTTGTAAAATAACTCTCTTTTTAAAGGCCACTTCAACCATGGCAGACTTCTGAGCAAGAAGGGTTATAAGCTGTCCAAAATCAAGTCATTAAGAACCTGCTAATTAAATGTACTGTATTTGGCTTTCATAGTGGAAGGTTTTCTGTGTAGGCAATATATCCATATGGGTTGAAGACCCAGAGTGAACGGAGAGATGATTTTAAATATGGTCTCATTGTGATAACCTCATTTTATTTGAAAAGATGTACGTGCTTCAGGTGGTATAAAAGGAATGCAGTAGTTTGGATTCCTCACTCCAAAGTTGCCACCACTTTACTAAAATCAATGGGACAAAAAAGTAAATTGTAGCTAATCCACCTAATTAGCTTGGTAACGTGTTTTTTTTTTTTTTTTGCTTCTGAATGTTATCTATATGATTACACCTGACATCTGATTTTTTTAAAATATCTCCATCCAAACCCTTTTCATCAGAAAATCCTGATGAAATCAGATTGCTGTAAATTGTTTTCAGTAAGCAGTTAAGAAGATGATGATGTATATGCCATGAGAAATGACATTTTAGAGTAATTGGGTCACTCCATTTTCTGTCTTCTGTGGCTTCAATTTGCCAGAAGGATATCCTTTGTACCAGTTATGGTTAGTTTTATTCTGTACATTATGTACATCTGAACTTACACTACATGGATATATGAATTCCTGTACTTAATGACCAAAAATGGCACCAATCTATTTAGTAATGGGAAGAGCTGAAATAGCATAACTTCGGGATTTGCATCTGTTTGTATATTTCTCAGATAATTCTTCCCAAATCTGATCTATGCTAGAAAACGCATGAGGTTATCTTGGCCATCGTCCCTGGTTGTTAGGACATATTTTTCATTAGACAACGTTGGGGTACCCCTACAGGGCTCCAGCTCAGGGGTGAAATCTACTTACCTTCCTTACCTCCTTCGGAAGTGCATGCGCCGTGCATGTGCATTCACTTCGCTTGCGCATGCACACATCACATCTGCGCGGACCCTCTGTGCATGTGCAGAGAGTAAAAAACACATTACTTCCTGATTAAAATCAAGAAGTAACCACACCCAGGTGGGTGGGCGGAGCCTTGCGCCACCATCGCGACTGGCTCTCTGAACCACTGGCCCCAATCGCTACCGGATCGCCTGATCCGGTCTGAACTGGGAGGATTTCACTCCTGCTCCAGCTATATAATTGGTAGATAAGGATGAAGACAGGAAAGATATATATAGAGCTCTGCAGGATTGGGGCCGAGGAGAACCCTGTGTCATTCATGGCCATTCGTTTGTTTCATCAACATTTTTTTTTTGCTTTTGAATAACATCTTTAATCTCCCGGCTTTCTGCATCAATCAGACTTTTAAAAGAATTTGATTTCCTAGATTATTGTAAATGAGATTCGTACACTGATCTCTCTCTCTGTGTGTGTGTGTGTGTGTGTGTGTCTGGTGGCTGAACTGGGTGAGCTATTGGCAGTTTCCACAAAGTTGATTTCTATCGCTTTGCCAAGTAAGCTTAAACATTGAATTCTATGCTTCACTGAGAAAGCTGTTTATTTTCTTTGGGTGGGGAGTTTGGGATAGCCTTGCTCGCTTGATGGATGTATTTATCCACATATCTGAAGTTCACTCTGTTTCGGTCTTTCCTCCAATAGTAAGAAGATTGAGAGGCATTGATTCAGAACTGGAGATGGTTATCCAGTTTCCATTTTCATGAAACGTGTAGACCTTCTCATTACTGCGTAGGCAAATCTGAGCCTTCCTTTTACTAATCAGCTGCGTACTTCATCTTGGGGCCTATGTAGCTTTGGACAGGATAACTTACTGGTAAAAATACGGTACTGTTTATATTTAATTTGAATATATAATTTCTATCTGTGAGGCTGAAGATAGAAATCAAGGTGCTTCAGGGGAAATATCACTTACCCCCTTATGGACTGCATTTGTTACCTGAATGTGTTCAGAAGGTACAACTTTTGAGTTTTGTAATCGAGATTGAATCTCTCGCCACAAATCTTGTAGATTGAAATAATCAATTCGGGGCTACTTCCCTGGCGTGTTCTACCCAGATATACTCTGTGAAGATGATCCTTCAACATTGAAATTCAGTAGCAAGCACCCTTGTGGTAGGGCTGCCCAAAAGTCCTGTTTTCTCCTAACGATAAGAAGAAAAAAAACCTACTGTGAGAATAAAAGGAGATAGCTACTACTGTGAGAATAGCAATTAGAGTTTATCGGAATATTTTTTTATATGATAGTGTATTTTTATAGAGAGATGTATATAAAGCATACACGCGCACACATCCTGTAGTCTCTTGGGAGTCTGTGATTTAAAATATAGCATTGCAGTCACAATCATTTTCATGGCATTGGAAGACGAAACGGAGCCAAAAGCTGCTAAAAGAGTAACAAGAAAATGCAAAAACATTGTCTGTCTGATTATTTTTCTAGAGCGCTTTGAAGAGAATATTGTAAACCGTTGCCTAGATTAGTTTCTGGGATAAGAACATCACTTAAGAATAAAACAATAACGTTACATTCTAATTGCTGGCGAACAGCGTTAAAGTGCACTTTTCAAAATTACACTTCCATATCTTTTGTTTTGTTTAGACTTGAAATTTCTAAAGCGTCGTGCGGTGTGTATGTGTGCATGTATGTGTATGGGTAACCACTAATACCTTTTTGTGCAAAAACGATGTACATAAAACAACTTCCAGTTGTTAATCAACCAGATGTCATGTTTCTGTAACACCAACCACTGTGTGAATTTGCAATGGGGCTAGGATGTTAAGAGTAAAACCTGTCATTCCAGTACTGTATGAAGATTTTTCCAATGTGTAAGATCTCATTTACATCTCCTTTAATTTTGTTCCATCCAATGCCAGCTGTTATAATAAAGTCTTATTGTACCATTTTCAAAGAAAGCATGTTTACTAAGATGTGTTAATAACAACCGAGTGAAATTTCAAAGTTATCTAGGTATTTGAAAAGTGTTTCTTTTTCATGCTTTGTGGAAAAAAAACAACCCCAAACAATTGGATGGGCAGATTTAAAAAGATCAGGAGTCATAACTCAGCCTGCCCCTTTTGAGCTCTTGAAGAATGCAGACTTTCCCCCCCAGTCCATTTGGTGGTGACGAGAGGGGGCTTTTGTGAGGCTGGGGTTAGATACTGGAAGCTTTCCCTTATCTTGCTATGGCCAAATGTGAACAATTGTGTGAAATCGCATCACGAAAATATATTTTTGTTACATTTTTGCTAGCAAATCTAATTTACAATAAATTGGTTTCTGCCAAACTTTCATGGTACAGATTAGTCCACCACAAAGACTAAATTATTCTCATATTAAGCTATAAAATGGCATGTGTGCTTGGGCTTAAGGAATTGTGTGAACCCAGCTGCTCTTCAACTTTTCATGGATTAACATATGGGAGGCAAAGCCACAATTTATCAAAGCTCAGAACTTTCTGAGGGAAGCACAACAGTATGGCTAGTTGTTTCAAACTAGTTTGATCTATATCCTACTGAAAGCCTCATGTTGCAATACTTGTCTTAAAAACTTATGGATAAAGAGGCATAAGGGATGTAAAGCTGCCCATTTTTCCCTCTTGAGATTTGCTAGTATCTCACAAGAATACTTAAGATTTTCTTTAATGTGCTTTTGAGCAGGCAAAGTAATGGCAGGACATACCAGGCATCTCAAGGTTTACAGCCCTGCCATGCTGGGTTTTTCAGGCCTCCTTACCCAATCATTTGTTCTATGCAGCACACCAAATCATACGTTTTGGCAAACCATTTATTGAAGCACTATTTACACAACACCTACAGCGCAACCTGATAAAATTGCCTTTATACTTCAGTGCAAATAAACTTCGCCTGTAGTGAACTGTGAATGTACAGTTAGAGATTCCTCCAGGTTTTTCTGTAACAGTTGTCCCAGACTAGAGGAATAAATCTGAAATAAAGCTGTAGCTTTCATTTTAGTGTCAGGCAAACAACAACAATAAAGCATGAAACAAATTGGTTGCATTGACGATAAACCATAAAACTTCCTCCAGAAGTGCTTGGTGATTCGTCTATGGCCATGCTTGCAGCTTTTATGGCAGATCATGGCACATATCAACTTTACTGATAGTCCTAGGGCAGTTACGGCCTTCAGAGGTGGAAATCTGGTATTGCTGTTTGTTGTGTTTAGCTTCCTGAAAGTGTCCAAAAAACGTACGTTAATGCTTTTAAAATATAAAAACAGAGTGAAAATTATCACTGGAATTCAGTCCATCTATGCAGGAAAAAAATTCATCTGCCATTTCAGATGTTACTTTAAAACATCCTTTCTCAACTGAAATTATCAAAATCGAAGCAAGGCAGGAAAAGCATACATAGAGAAATAATTATTTCAGTAAGCTTTCCAAATTTAAAATTTTGCTTCTAGGAATGCACCTGTGGTAATAAGACTCCATTTTTAATTTCAGCAAATTAAAAATTGCTGGAGATTCTTTAAATTACTTCTTAAATGAAAATGAGGTATTTATTTGAAGAACCTGCTGCTACAAGTACATCTTGAAGAAGGCTCTGGAAAGCCCTTTAACTATCTCTAATACCTGCTTTTTCTGCATAAGAATCTCCACTTGGGTTTTCATTTTTTTAAAAAAACAGAATCGAATAGACTTGCTTCTGTACATTTTGCTACAAAATGTAACAAAATACACCCTTACATAAACAAACTAAGAACTGTTTTCAACCATGTTAAAATACACTAGAATCACTTTGCCTGAATAGTCAAATTTACTTTTAAGGAGGTTCATTTCCATCTTGGCATTAGTTCTACGTTTTGTTCTCTATTGCACAAACACTCAGCTTGTTATATTATCACATACAGGGTATGATAGGAAGAAGTTATAGGGGCCATGACACATTATTAATAACCACAATAAAGCCATTGATTCTGTTTTTCAGTATTTCTTGCACCAGTGAAACTTAAAAGAGTTTTAAGTTATGAGGCAAAAATCCAGTACCAGTTTTTAAAGGATAAGACTGGAAATCAAAGGCAAAGTTTGATCTCGCAGAAGACAAAATGCATTTGTTTAGAGGATGTTTTACACTGGTTAATAGTGAACTCTGATTCTGCCTATTTGTTGAACAATTTATGCTTTGTTCCTGGTTTTTCTATTATTATTTTGCTTTATTATTTGCACTCATCATTTTAGATCATTCCAAACCCAAGGAATTTTGCACCTTACAGGTATGTAAATACCTGGAGAAACCCAATGCTTTCCAAGGACTATAACAGAACTGCAATATGCGGGAAGACTTAATTTTACCCTCTCCAATTATAACCTCTTGAGGGAAACTGCTAGTAGTCATCAGACTTAAAAAAGAGGTTTCACTGGCAGCTTAAGTCCAACCGCTGTAGGGGCTGAAAGGTTCTACAAGGCATCCCTTTCCCATTTGTGTCCTAAAGTCTGAGAGTGTGTGTGTACAGGGCAAAATCCTGCTTTCAGACAGAGAAAATAAGACTTTCCCCATTATGTGACTTTTATGGACTCTGTATTCTGAAAGTTAATGTGTCAGCGTTCCAGCGCTGACATATGAAAGGGAGAAGCTTGAACTTTTGCCTACTTAATTCCTTTGAAGATTCTGTTTCCTCAGAGATGGGAGGAGGGGGGACATTCCTGTGATTTGACGGAGATGGGATGAGGAGAGTGGCTTGGAAGATAGCCAATGAGACGCAGAGAATTGGGGATCGGAAATGGAGGGCCTGGGGGGCAAAGGTCGGTGCTGACCGCAAAAAAGCCAGGGACAGATCACTATGGTCAATAAAGAGAAAATTTCCTCAAAGATCGGCAGTTTGGAAATTCATTTATTTTGAGATAGCATCGAAACCTGACATAATGTGCATTGCAGCACAATTTTCAGAATGGGAAGAACTGCTGAAAAGAACTTGTAAGCACACATGAAAATTTCCCCAAACACTTAGCAGAAGACACATTAAAAGTAGAATTACCTGGGCTTTTTTGAAACTTCCCCAGGGCAAGATCAGACAATATGATCAGAAAATAAAGAGAGGGAAGTTACAGGCAAGGAGAGAAGTACTGTGGTTCTCCAGGGGTTTTTCAAGCAGTTTTTTAGTAACTTAGATTTTGTTGCACGTTAAATGCTATTTTTCCCTCCCTCTCCAATTCTATACCAGTATTTGCAACCGACAGACTGTAACTCAAATGCTTCTTACCTTCCTTCATTCTTTGCAAATCCCTTTTTGGCACCAGGTTGTGAAGACATGGCTGCTGGAATCTCAAAACCCGAGATGGCCACACTGCTAGTCAGATATTCTTTTCTGCATTGGCTGAATTTACCTCTTTCTTCCAAAATTTCCAGGGCAGCAGGAAGTGCTGTCAAGGCACAAGCAAGCACTTTGTGTTTGGCATTAGGCAGGTACTATCCTGAAGAATGGCTCAGAAGAATTCCACTTATCCAAGTAGTAGAAAGCAGGTCACTTTTGTGGCGAGTGTTACTTGAAGCAATTTGTAGTCGAGTCTAAAATCTTTTGACCCTTGTCACACGTTTGACCCATTGACTACAAGCTCCCAAAATTAGAAAACGATGATTTAATTCTAAATTGACTGATGGGTCCAACTCTTGGTTTGAAGATAAAAGTTACCCTGCGATAATCTATGGAGACTCTTTTATTGAAAGGAAAAGGAACTCCAATAAAAAAAATCTGTATTACATTTGAATTTTTTTTTTTCAAATGAAACGTCAGCGCAACAACACAGAGCACATTAAAAAGGTACAGTTAACATGGATTTTCAAGTGAGATCCTGGCATGCAAATGTCATAAGAACGTCACATGCATGCATTATGGAGAACTTTTCTTGTTGATAGCATAAACAGTCCCCACATCCAAGTTTTATTATAATTTATATATGTCAGTAGTTCAAAGAAAAGTTGTTTATATATGACGGAGTTATCTGCAGTTCTTTCAAACCTCCTTAAGTGGACAAAGTTACTCAGATGATGGAGATCAATGATATCAGGAGTGCCTATTAACATACTATTCCTAAAAGAAAAGAGGATTCAACAAGAACTCAGGCTGTTGCTCCTGAAATCAGCATGAAATGCAGACATTCAATGTCCAAACTTCGGTACAAGGATGACATTCTGAAAAACGACACAAAACTCATTTTAAATTATTGCAAGCAGAACTTAGCGAGGTACTTCGGCTAAGAGAGCGTTCCTAGTAGGGGGACGTTGCCATCTGCAGGTTCACAAAATAAAAAAAAAGATGGCTGAAAAGCATTGCTTTTCTCAAATTTATTTTACATTATCGATCTGTGCATATTGAAAATAGAAACCATTACAAAAATGAGCTCTGTTATCTGCTGCAGGGGCCTTCAGGAAAGCCTTGAAGACCTCTGGATAGTGAAAAAGAGGCCAGGGGTGACATGCACAAGTGAGGGGAGTCAGTGGATGACACCTCCCCTAAAAATAAGACCTGGTGTCTTTTTTTGGTGTCAAAAATATATACCATGTTTCCCCCAAAATAAGACCCTTTCTTAAATTCTTTTTGAACCCTGAAATAATGGCCTTATTTTTAGGGAGGCCTTATTATTTTGGGGCGCGTGGAGCAAGACGGGGCTCCTCTTGCCGTCTTACCTGATTTCCAGCTCTGTCTCCCTAACCCTAACCAGAGGAAATGGCGGGGACAGGCTGTGCATGCGTTTAAATATTTTCGGGGAGGGCTTATTTTCAGGGGAGGGCTTATTTTTGGGGAAACACGAAATACATTACAGCTGTGCAATGATCATTTAGCTCACTTCATGATCTCAACCTCAAACTCAGCATCTTAGTTTGTTCCTGATTCACTAATTTTGGACATTCAGAGCTCAGGATTCCCATTATCTAAGCTGGAGAAACCTTTGATCGCCTTTGGTCGTATAACTTGTTTAGAATATGAAAGAGTTTGCATGAAAAACAGAATCTTAAACACAAAGGGATCTAATATTCCCCCATTATCATCCTCCCTGGTTAAAAAAAAAAACAGTATATCCTCCTTATAAAGACAATATTTCAATACACTCTGGCAACCTTTTCCTCTGCAGCATCCATCTGACTTACAGCAATTGCAAGCCAACAAGATTAGGGCACAATTTCTGGAATCAATTTCAAATCTTCGGGCTGCTAGAAGAATGTGATGTTTGAAGAGTTGGCCTGGGATGAATTATAAGAATGGAAGAATACAGGTTCAACCCCATCCTTAAACCAAGAAACTCTGGGTCACTTCACTGACTGAGGGACAGGTTGTGAAGAAAAACAGAAAGGAACACTAGGCAGGTAGTCCTTGCCTTACAACAGTTTGTTTAGTGACTATTCAAAGTTACAACAGCATTGAAAAAAAATCACAATCTTTCAGATGGCCATGCTTAGCAACTGACTCATATTTATGACGATTCCGGTGTCCTAGAGTCATGTGATCACCTTTTGCAACCTTCTGACAAGCAAAGTCAATGGGCAAGCCAGGCTCCCAACTTAACAAGTACAGTCATTCACTTAACAACTGTGGCAAGAAAGGTCGTAAAAATTAGGCAAATCTCACTTAACGATTTAGCCACAGACATTTGTGGCTCAATTGCAGTCGTAAGTCAAGGACTACCTGTATTCACTACCTGGAATTCCTGAAGAACAGACAGTTTATAACCTAATACGTAAATTTATTTATTAATAAATAAAATAACCTAATGAATAAAAACTTACAAAAGGCCTGTAAGAGTAAAAGGTATCATAAAAGCTTTCCTTCTATATTTATATCCTGCCTTTTCTTTAAAAGATTCAAGCCTTCTCCCCTGCTTTTATCCTCCAATCGTCCTGGGGGTATAGGCTGGCTTAAAAGACAATGAATAGTCTAATCCAGGGGTGTCCAACCTTGACAACTTTTAAGACTTGTGGACTTCAACTCCCAGCATGGCTGGCTGGGGAATTCTGGGAGTTGAAGTCCACAAGTCTTAAAAGTTGCCAAGGTTGGACACCCCTTAAAGCTTAAACTCTCCTACTGAACTCTGTGATCATGTGGGGAAAGCTGAACCTGGGTACCCCTAGCTACACTGGCTCTCCTGATCACAATTTCAGGGGCAGGAAAAAGAAAAAATCAATCTGAAATGATGGAGAGACATTGCCAGCCAGCAATCATAATACTGACTTGGAACAATGAGCGAAACATTGAAGGAATGAGAGGAGAAATGCGCTGACTACTGAAACAAGTAATTTGATAGATCTGGGATTCACTGTGAAGGGAAATTCCAGGCTAGGAATTAAGCACTTGCTCTCCAAGAGATCAAATTCATTGCAGTGATGGGATTCCCCACCCTAGAACAGGCTAGAGCCGTGTTGGCGAACCTATGGCACGGGTGCCACAGATGGCACACAGAACCATATCTGTGGGCATGTGAGCTGTTACCCTAGCTCAGCTCCAGTGTGGATGCACAGGCTGGCCAGCTGATTTTCGGCTGGCCCCACCCACGCCACCCTTCCCCTCCCAGGAGTCTCCACACAGCCCGTTTTGGATGCCAGTTAAGTACAGGGCTTGCATAGAGGCTCTGGGAGGCGTTTTCGGTCTCCGGAGGGGTGGGGGAGGCCGTTTTTGCCCTCCCCAAGCTGGGGACTTCCGGTGGGCATACCAGGCCCACCGGAAGTCGGGAAACGGTCCTTTTCCAGCCTCTGGAGCAGTGGTTCTCAACCTGTGGGTCGGGACCCCTTTGGGGGTCGAATGACCTTTTCACAGGGGTCGCCTAAGACCATCGGAAAACACATATTTTCAATGATTTTAGGAATAATTTTATGGTTGGGGGGTCACCACAACAGGAGGAACTGTATTAAAGGGTCGCAGCATTAGGAAGGTTGAGAACCACTGCTCTGGAGGCTTCAGGGAGGCCTGCTAGGCCCAAAACGGGGCGCGTGGGGGTGGATGTCGTGCGCGCATGCGTGGTGTGTGTGTGGGTTGTGCGCGCATGAGTGGGGCAGCACAGAGGGGTTGCGCATGCATGCGCAGGGGAGAGGGGTGCAGGGGGACATTATGGGTGTGGGCACACGGACATGCGATTTCGGCACCCAAGGAAAAAAAGGTTTGCCATCACTGGGCTAGATGATCTTCAGTTCTCTGATACCGAGAGCGCCTTACCTTGATGCACTTTGGGTGCGTTACTCTAATCCAGGCAAGGCTTGCTGTGTCGGTACTGCATGATGTACATGGTTGATTGGTGCCACCAATATAACATCACCACAGCAAGAATGTGCCAAAGTTGGTGGCTGGAGCCGAGGTAGTTTAGCTGTCCTGTGGAAGAAGAGAAAACCAATTTAATCAGAAAGGGAGTAAAGGAACATGCTTTTTGTTCACCCAGATGAAGATGAGCGCACAACCATTCAAATATACATTTTTTCCCTCTGGCTGATCTGGAAATGAAGGATCTTTTTCAGCCCAGAAAGTGAAAGAATATTGCATTTTTTGGGGGGGGGGATCAGGAAAAGATCGTCTCACTTATGTCTGGCTCTTGAGCTTCCAGGTTAGTTAGTTAGTTAGTAAGTTAATAATTAATTAATTAATTAATTATATTTCTATACCGCCTTTCTCCCGTAGGACTCAAGGCGGTGTACAGTCAAGAAAAATATAGATACACAAACATCATAAAATTGCTAATTAAAATTATTATTATAACATAGTTTGGCCCAATTAAATAGAACCTAAAATTAGATAACATCTTAAAAACATTCACATGTTCATATGTTTAGCCCCGCTTGTTGGAACATCAGGGTTTTGAGGGCACGGCGGAAAGCACGGAGATCAGGGATATTCCGTATCTCAGGGGGCAGTTCATTCCAAAGGGTTGGAGCCCTCACAGAGAAGGCCCTCCCCCTGGGAGTCACCAGTCGGCATAATTTGACTGACGGTACCCTGAGTAGTCCCTCCCTGTGAGAACGAACTGGTCGGTGGGAGGCTATTGGTGGCAAAAGACGGTCTCGTAGGTACCCAGGTCCTAAGCCATGGAGCGCTTTAAAGGTGATAACTAACATAATAGGTTATGTCTGGCTGGCTACTGTTAACTGTCGATTTGTGGTTAGAGTGCAGTACTGCAGGCTACTTCTGCTGACTGCCGGCTGCCTGCAATTTGGCAGATCGATTCTCACCAGGCTCAAGGTTGACTCAGCCTTCCATCCTTCTGAGGTTGGTAAAATGAGGACCCAGGTTGTTGGGGGCAAGAGGCTGACTCCGTCAACTGCTTAGAGAGGGCTGTAAAAGCACTGTGGAGCAGTATATAAGTCTAAGAGCTATTGCTATTTAAAAAATTGTGTGCGGCAATGTGGATACTATTTTTCAAGTTATAGAAATGCATAGTGTGTTAAGATGCATATCATGCTAAATATTCTCCTAATGCTGAATACTGCTCTATGCCTCTGCAGATTTAAAGACATCTGCCTTAAGTATAATACTTAATAATTTAGTTGCTGAACCGGGGAGTTTTCTATATTTCCTCCAATATTCACTCTAAAACAAGATCACAACAGTAGCCCAAACTACAATGTGCACCTTTTATCCAGGAAACAATCAGGAATATCTTTACCTGGAAAATACCTTTCTGGGACTTTAGAAATATAGAAGAGAAATGCTGTGACGGCTATTAAGTACATCACAATCACGCGGGGAGCAAATTCCTGAGAAAGGAAAATAAAACATAAACCGTAGTCACTGAAAGCATTCAAGTTTCAGATCTCTGACACAGAAGATGGTAACCCTTTTCAACAAATTTCAAGTATTATAAATTTTAAAAAAGCTGGATGACTTGCAAATGAACTTACCCAGGGAGGGGGGGAATAGCAGTTTAAAATTTGTAAACTGCCCAGAATCATGTTTAGGTTTAATGTGATTTATATGTGAGATGGACAACTATAAAATAAACAAGCATACAAAACGCAGTTTCTTGGCAGTGTTTTGAAAGTATCTTCTCTTTGTGGTTTTCCAAGATTTCCTCCCCACAATTTCCTAGTTTAGCCAAATCCCAAATAGTCCTGTATCCAAGTACTAACCGAAGCCAACCCTGTAAAGTCTCCACGATTAACCAAGGCTGGCTAGGTACTAAGCCCTGCCCTCAACCGATAATAATAATGGGAAACAGGCCTCCATAAGGTCCATAGAACCATCTTTCGAGCGAATGTAGCAGAGCAGGTAACTGTTCTAGATTTACCTGTACAATAGATGCCGTGATGCCTCCATTAAGCCAAATCCAGTGGATGGTGGGAATAATTCCGTAGCCTGACACAGAGCAGAAGATGGCCGAGCGCAGCCGATGCCATTGCTGAGTGAGGTAATTGGGGTGAATCTGAGCGAAGAATACTGCCAAGATCATAGCCAGCACCGTGATCAAGTATACTTGACGCCAGTACTGGAATATGGGGAGCAAAAAGGGAGGAGAGATCTGCGTGAAGAAACCTGGGTACTCGCACGGCAATTCCAGCCAATGCTGGAATATCTATTTAAGATATTTAAGTAGATCTTAAATCTATTAAGATCTATTTATTTATGCTTTTCCAAAACACAGGGAACAACTATATAAATGAGGGCGGTACTATTTGCATTTCCAAATACTGATAGAATAATTTTAACAGAAAAACAGAGTTGGAAGGGACCTTGCAGGTCATCTAGTCCAACCCCCTGCCCAAGCAGGAAACCCTACACCATTTCTGACACATGGCAGTCCAGTCTCTTCTTGGAGAAATGGTGTTGGCCCACAGAGGAAAAAATTAGCAGAGCTTTCGCGAATAGCTTCCTTCCCAGTTTATGCTCCCTCGCATAGACCCAACATTCTCAATGGGGTTAATATTGAAGACCCAAATGAAACCTGCACCATTTTTAGAGAGCAGCATTATCCTTGGTTGCATTTGTTAAATTATCATGGACTGTGAGAAATTATAATTAAATAATAAAGGTTTATTCAGGATTCGCGTCTGCTTAGATGGGAATAGCAGACTGGATTTTGAATCGGTTTATTTTAAATAGATTATACTACAGATTGGAATTTTGAATAAATGATGTACATAATTATTTGGGAGACGACAATCCCAGCAGAATTTAAGGTATACAACAGCTAGCATTGTGCCCAACTTACATTACTACAGTAAAATGCATAAAAAACTCCTGACACATAGCAGCCTAGGATCCCAATCGAAATTCCTGCATAATCCAAAGCCATCCATCTTCGACTGGTCTTTTCTGAGCGATGACAGCAGAAGAGGTGATACCCTACTGAGCAAAGCATACAGACCTACCAAAAACATTGAAACAAATTCACTTTAATTTTATGCAACTGATTTTTATTTATTTTTTTTAGATTTTAGCATGCAGCAGTCTAAGGAGCTTGGGTGTTTCTAGTTGAAAACTATAAAATGGAGCACAGCAGAAACATCTGGCTTTACTCTACTCAACCTGCTTACAATATGAAAAGAGATGGAAACATTTATTTATTTATTTATTACACTACTATCTTCCAATATAAAGGGGATCCTAGAGGAAGGCTAACAATAATTCACAACTACTATAGGAAAATACTAATAGACTAAGCAGAAAAATTGAAAACTAGTCAAATTAGGATTTATGCGATCCCCTAAAATTCTATTACTATGTACTAATTCTACTAGCGAGTAAAATTCCTAATGAAATACAAATGCATTGAGACTAGGAAGGAAGGGTGAAGATCAATTGGAGATGCTACCTTGATTTCAGAATAAGATGATAACATTGTTCCATGAAGGCTACAATTAAAGGACCGTAAATTATCACGATGTTTTGATTAAAATAAATGAGGCAAAAAAGCCTCACCTTGGAAGTGAATGCGAGCTTTATTCTATATCACTCCTTCCGACATACCCATCCCTTGCAAAGTTTGGTTGCCATAGGTAAAAAGAACTTACCTGAAAGCAAAAAAGACAAATAGAACAAATAACAAAATCTTCTCTAGAAGCTTTCGCAGAAGGCAACACAGAAGTCATGTCGTATATGCCCAAAGTGAAGAAGAGAAAGAAGCCCAGCAAATGACTCCAGATATTAATTGTCTCATTGGACAAAACGAACAGACTGGGGAAAAAAAAAGAGATAAAAACAATAATGTCTGAACTAGTTTTAAATAATTTTGACTAATAGCAGTGTAAGTATGTGATTCAACTCAGCTAGTAGATTTCAGATGCAATCTGATCAGAATTCTGTCCTTTAGTCTGTCTATCAGAAAGGGGCACTTTATGCTGAACCTGAATTAGCGTTATTAGCATATATTCTCTGCATTTCCTCAGGAAGAATACAAAATTGAAATAAATTGATCACAGAATAGTTCATTTTGTATTCAGAGATTTTATTTTTTCTCATTTGCAATATTTATATTGCCGCCATATGTGCATGAAAATGGTTCTCGTTACAACCTCGTGACAATAATTTTGTTTCCTGTTAATTTTTTTGCTTCAGACAATGCCTAGATCTAATCAGGGATTCCAGTCCTAAAGCAATGGACTGCATACAAATTAGTCTCACTGCTCCTGCATTATTAGGAGACTCATTTACTTCTGCTGTTGTATAGATATACCGTGATTCCCCGAAAATAAGACCCTGCCTTATATTTTTTTTGAACCCTGAAATAAGCGCTTGGCCTTATTTTTGGGAAGCTCTTACTATTTTGGGGTGCGTGGAGCAAGACGGGGCTCCTCTTGCTGTCTTACCTGATTTCCAGCTCTGTCTCCTTAACCCTAACCAGAGGAAATGGCAGAGACCGGCTGTGCATGTGTTTAAATATTTTCGGGGAGGTCTTATTTTCAGGGGGGATTATTTTCGGGAGAGGTCTTATTTTCAGGGAAACACGGTACTAGGCCAGAGAAATTGCAGGGTGGAGTTTGTCTATTTAGATTCTGGAAAAAGGGACTGACAAGAGACTTGTGCCTCAAAAGTTTCAAAGGATAAATCAGCAAGACAGAATTACCGTATTTTTCGGAGTATAAAACACACCTTTTTCCCCCCTAAAAGGGGGTGAAAATTTAGGTGCGTCTTATATACCCAATGTAGCCCTGCCCATCCACTGCCCCCCACCCTTTGGCCTCTGCCTACCAGCAGTTACCTCCTTGCAAGCAAGCAGCAAGAAAAAATAGCTCCTTTCAGCTTCAGCACAGCCTAATTAGCACAAGTTGATTGGATCGGCCTCCGGACTCTCAGCTGTTTTGCTCTCAGCTGTTTTGCGCAGGGCTCTGCTGTTTGCTGCAAAGAGGTAAATTGCTGGGAGCAGATTTTTTTTTCTCCTTGTGCTAATCAAGCTATGCTGAAAACGAAAATGAAAGTAAAGCAGGCTGTTTGCTGCAACGAGGCAAAATTGCTCAGAGGCAGAGGGAGATTTCTTTTTCTTATTTTCCTCACCAAAAAAGGTAGGTGCGTATTATACTCCAGTGCGTCTTATATTCCGAAAAATACGGTAAGTTGTATTTCACACAGAGAAAAGAACATTTCAATTAAGTCAATGCACCTTGCTTCCTTAGTCGCTTTGGTTATAATTTGCAGATAGCAGGATATACATATACATAAACCAAGCAGTTTCAAAATAAAAACATTTCACTGTTTCTTATAGGCACTGCTTCAATCCAGGCTAGTTGATTAATTTCACTTTGAACCATTTCGATCAACTCCAAACCTTTTTAAACACAGCCTAGAAGGCAGGTATGCTCTGTAGCCGTCAGTGATGTAAGGATTATCCTTAAGGAACACAGGAATCTGTTCATAGGTGTATAAACGAATTCCTCGAGGAACGAGAACAGGCCAATACTGATAACTTCCCAGCTCAATGTAATGAGAGCTCTTCAAGAGTTTCTGGTGCATTTTAGTAATGCTTCAAGTCATCAACCCAGGCAAGAGTAAACATGGAGCAATACACAAGGCTTTTGACTTCTGTTATAAGTTATCTGAAAAATATGAGGACAAAATATTCAGAGGTTTAAGGTCTAAAATAAGACAGATATGGAACATCTAAGCTTTCCCCTTGGTTCACTTGTCACAAAACAATTTGCATTTTTCTATATAGAAAAAAACATTCTGAAAAAGCAATAGCAGCAAAAAATGTATATTATCAGCAGCAGACAATTTTAAGACTAGTCATTAACAATGTACGGCAAGAAGTATCTGGGGTGATAGAGACAGGCCTGTTTAATATTCTTTCCTCTTAAAAAAAGCTTTGTCGGCAGTATTTTGACAAGAGAAACAGGCCTAAAGGCAGCCCTCCCAGAAACTGCTCCCTGTTATTACAACAATCTTAAAAGTTGTGCTCTGCATACAAGGAATACAGGTAGACCTCGACTTACAACCAACAATTTAGTGAGCATTCAAAGTTACAACAGCGCTGGAAAAAAATGACTTATGACAGATTCCCTGTGATCGCATGATCAAACTTCAAACACTTGGAAACTGGCATATATTTGCTATGGGTGCAGTGTCCTGGGGTCATGGGATCACCTTTTGCAACCTTCTGACGTGTAACCACTGTGGCAAGTTCATAAAATGGGGCAAAACTCACTTAACTGTTGCTTAGCAACAAAAATTTGGGGATTGTGACGTAAATTGAGGACTACCTGTATACAGAGGGAGAAACAGAGATGGGTACTTTCTAAATCTGATTAACAATAAACCCTAATAATTTCTTCTTTTCCCTAGTTCCCATCTAGACTGGTTTTCTTCACGATTGATTTTGTTTCATGTTTCTTGTCATGTTGTTTTATAATCTATAAACTTTTTTTCAGTAACTTAAATCAGGCACATTATGAACAAGTTGCCTGTTTGTTTAGATTTTAAAGTCCCATAAGATCTTAGCCAGCTCATTTGCCAAAACCTTCCAAAAAATCCTTTTCGATGTTTTTAATTAAAATTCTGTGTGAAACCCTCCAGTTGCCTCTCCAAAGGAACAGGAAGTTAGGCAGTATATAAATTTAATTATTAAAATGTATATATTATCTAAATGTATAATTTTAATCATTATTATTAAAAGGTTTACATTTAAATATCATTATTTAAATGTATATACCTCCCAAGCAACTTCAAACAGTGGGAGAGAGACAACAAGAGGTTTTCACACAGCAGAACCTTATTATTATTATTGGTGTGTTGCACAGTCAGCCAGATGTTCAGATCAGATATGGCATTTTTGCCTGCCTATCGAGTCCTTCCCAAAGACCTGGGATGGGCAGATGTGAATGTTTTATGGTGTTACAGTTATCTTCTCAGGATGTAAGCTGTTCTGAATAATGCCACCTTTTGCAATTCATTGATGGTGAACTTGTCAATGCCACGGTGATTAAGGGATGCCCCAAGTATTTTGGGATTGCACCCAAGGCACCTTTCACTATTGGTATTACCTTGGCTTGCTTTTGCTACAACTGTCCTATTTCTATTTGCAGCTCTTTGTATTTTGTTCTCTTCTCCAGTTCTTTCTCTTCTACAGGTAGTCCTCAACTTACAATCGTTTGTTTAGTGACTGTTCAAAGTTGGAACTGCACTGAAAAATATGACACACACACACCCATTATAACCTTTGCAGCATCCCCATGATCATGTGGTCAAAATTCAGATGCTTGGCAACTGACTCATATTTATGACCACTGCTGTGCCCTAAGGTTCAGTCATCCCCTTTTGCGACCTTCTGACAAGCAAAATCAATGGGGGAAGCCAGACTGCAGTTACTATACTAACTGATACGTTACCCTGTGCCCCCCCCCCCCAAAAAGACATCCCCTGTTAATAAGCCCAATCAGGCTTTTGAGCACATGGCAATAAGGCCAAGCGCTTATTTCAGGGTTCAAAAAAATAAATAAAAAATAAGACAGGGTCTTACTTTCGGGGAAACATGGGTAGTAACCTAACTGGTAAATTAGTAACCCAATGGGCATACTAATTTACCAACTGCAGTGATTCACTTAACAACGGCGGCAAGAAAGGTCGTAAAATGGGGGCAAACATCACTTAACCACAGGAATTTGCCCCACCTCCATTGTGGTCGTAAGTCGAGGACTACCTGTATTATGCTCTCTCTCTCTCTCTCCAGGTCTTGCCAAGTTCCACCATCCAGCCTTCTCTTTTCATCTTTTTTATCGGCAGTTGTTAAGCCTGGGGCTGCTGCGTCGCAGGTGCCTGTCTGAAGTCCCAGAGTACTTTTAGCTTATGACAGGGGTGGGCAAATGTGGCCCTTTTACCACCTGTGGACTTCAACTCCCAGAATTCCTGAGACAGCTTGGCTGCCTCAGGAATTCTGGGAGTTGAAGTCCACAGGTGGTAAAAGGGCCACAGTTGGCCACCCCTGGCTTATGAAACGCCTCCAACGGCCGCTCTCCCACCTTCCTCCCCTGGGAAGGGCCCAGAAGCCAAACCAGAGAAAGCCACGGCCTCAGCTTCCCCGCCCCTTCAGGCACCACCAACAGGGCTGAGAGCCCCGACAACGCAAGCGGCGGTCTTGGACCTCGCTCACCCCGGTCGCTGCTGCTGCCGCCGCCGTCGCTGCCGCCACCTGAGCAGCTGAAGCCGCCTCAGCCCTTCAAGCATCCTGGCGGCAAAAAGAAGCTCCTTCCCGTCCTTCTCCTCCTCCTTCTCCTCGCCCAGAAAACAGCCGCCTCCGTCTCCCACCGGTCCCTAAGCGGCCATTGCGTCGCTCCCTCACGCCGCTGGTCGCCTAGGCCCGCTCGGATGACGCCGCAGCTTCGCGACGGTCGCGCGGTGTCGGCGTCACGGCGAAAAAAATGCCGACAGCGCACCAATAGGAACGGCTCTCCCTCACTTGCTCTTTCCCCTCCCCTCCTTTCCCCGCCAACGGGGCACGTGCAAGGGGCGTGGCCTAAGACACATAAACAGAGTGAAGCGCGGGAAGGGAGGGAGTGGGCGGAGCAAGGAGGGATTGGGATGGTCGTGAATGACAGCTTTACTGTGGAGTATTATTATTATTATTAGTGGAACCGATTTTAAATGCTTTTCCATTTTTTTTAAAAAAATATTGAAATTGTAACTAAGAGGATTGGAAGGAATTAAGTCTACCTAGTTGGGATGCTTACTTACCCTTTGCTGTTTAGGGCAGGGGTCTCCAACCTCAATACTGTTCCCCTGCCTGCCTCACTGTATTTCAGACATGAATACATTAAAGAGGGTCCAGAGATATTTTACTAGAAGAGTACTCAAATCTTCTGCTCGAAATAAAATTCATCAGGCTTGAAATTTTAAGTCTGGATAGCCTCAAACTACGCCGTCAGCGTTCTGACCTGTAGGAAGTTAGCACCCACCCCTTTCCTAGAAGAATGAAATATTTTAGGAAATATTAAAAAGGCAGAATATTATGTTTCCCTGGATGAGAAATGGAGAAGCATGTTTTAAAGACGAAGCAGCTCCCACCTTCTTGCCCCCCCCTCACTCTTTGTCAATGGGCCAGAGGCAGAAACTCGATCTTTGTCAATGGACCATCATCTGCAACACAATAGGACCCATCTAGCAACAGAAACTCACCACATGGCACCTGGGAAGATTACATCAGCTAGCAAGGCTAGCTAAGACCCCCATCCCCTGGGAGTCTGACAACCAATCAGGATACTTTTTCTGGGCCCCAGGAAATTCAAAGCCAGAGAGGGCATAAAACCCGGGGACTCACAGCATCTCCCCCCTTTTCTGTTCAGGAACTCAAACCATGTGATCCTGTCCACCATTAAACCATCTTTCCAAGCAGTCTCCATGTTTCCAGTGTCTTTTTCCCCACTTGGAGCTGAACCCAGAAGGATATCTCTTCTAACAGACCTATGCTTAGTTCATAAGATTATTTACCAAAAAGTCCTACCTGTAAATGAGTACTTTAATTTCAACCGTAATAACACAAGGGCTATCAATAGATTCAAACTCAAATGTAATTCGCTCTAATCTTGATTGTAGGAAATAGGACTTCTGCAATAGAGTAGTAAATGTCTGGAACACTCTACTTGATCCTGTTGTTAGTCTCACTAACCTCCATACCTTTTGCTTTAAACTGTCTACCGTGGACCTTTCATGTTTCTTAAGAGGTCCCTAAGGGGGCATGCATAAGCTTGTCCTACTGTCCCTGTCCTACTGTCCCCATTTATATATATATATTATTTTTTTATTTTTATTTATTTTTATATGCCGCCCTTCTCCGGAAACTCAGGATGGCTTACAATGCGTTAAGCAATAGCCTTCATACTTTTGTATATTTTATACAAAGTCAGCTTATTGCCCCCACAAACCGGGTCCTCATTTTACCCACCTTAGAAAGGATGGAAGGCTGAGTTGACCTTGAGCCTGGTGAGAATTGAACTCGCAGTAATTGCAGGCAGCTGGATGTTAAATGCTGCCTTAGTAGGAGGCATTAGCCTCCTACGCCACTCAGGCTACTTGCATATAATCATTCTATGTGTTTATGGCTATGTTTTGCCTATTTATATCCTTTTATTTATGCCAATTTTTTTCATGTGTCCATGTCTATGTCTATACTGTTACTTGTTTCCTTGTACTTGTTGATAAACAAACAAACAAACAAACAAACAAACAAACAAACCTTGGCAACTTTAAGTCTTCTGGACTTCAAATCCCAGAGTTCTGGGAGTTGAAGTCCACAACTCTTAAAGTTGCTAAGGTTGGAGACCCCTGGTGTAGGAGATGAATGGGATGCAGGCAGTCGTGGGATTCAAGTAATTTAACAACTGGTTCTCTGCCCTAATGATTTCTTCCAACAACCAGTTTGCCAAACTGCTCAGAAAGTTAACAACCGGTTCTCCCGAAGTGGTGCGAACTGTCTGAATCCCACCACTGGATGCAGGGACTCCGATTCAGACATTCACTGGGTTGTTATTTTTTAAACAGTTTTTATTAGTTTATAATATAGCATACAAAAAGTCTACAGAGATTTTCTCAGTCATCCAGGTCATGGTTGTCCCTCTTTTTTTCAAGAGGCAACTGGAAGTTCTGGTTTTTCTTTTGAAGACTTTTTGCTTCTTGAGCTGAAGAAGCTTCTTGGATGAGAAGCGAAACGTCTTGAAAAAAACAACAACAAACAAACCAGAAAGTCCAGTTGCCTCTTGAAAAAGCACCTTCTTTGGGATAGCATGCAAAGAAAATACAAAAAGCAAATAAGTAAGGGAAGTAGGGAAGGGAAAAGGGAAGGAAAAAGTGAGGGAAAGAAAAAGGGAAAAAAAACCGCATTACTTCTGACTCCCTTTGGTGCAGTAGAATAAGGCATTAACATCAAACCTCAACTTTTTTACTTTTACATAATAGTATAAACTAGCCATTTCTATAACAACAAATCTATCGAATTGGTAAAACCCAAAATCAAAGTTTTGTTTTTTTCCTGCCTCAAGCATAAAATGATTTTTAAAAATGTTATCTAATTCTGGGTTTTATTTAATTGACCAAACTAAGTAATAATTTTAATTAGCAATTTTATGATGTTTGTGTATCTATATTTTTCTTGACTGTACACCGCCTTGAGTCCTATGGGAGAAAGGCGGTATAGAAATATAATAAATAAATAAATAAATAAATAAAATAAAGTCCACAAGTGGTTTCCAAGTAGAAATAAAAGTATTCGTATTTTTTCTTTGATCAAAACAGTCTATTTAACCATCTTCGCTAACTCTTATCAATTTATGCAGCCTTTGGTCCATTGTGGGGATCGAGGTGACCTTCCATTTCTGTGCATAATCTTCAACATCAAAATTCTGAATTTTGTTTCAAGGTCTTTTTTCCATTAAACCCAAAAGAAAAGGAGACCCCGGGGACCAGGGGTGAAATCCAGGAGGTCTGACAAGTTCTGGAGAACCGGTAAATACCACCTCTGGCTGGGCCCAGGAGTGGGGAGGGAATGGAGATTTTGCAATATCCTTCCCCCAGGAGTGGGGAGGGAATGGGGTTTTTGCAGTATCCTTCCACCAGGAGTGGGGAGGGGATTTTGCAGTATCCTTCCCTGCCATGCCCACTAAGCCACACCAAGCCACACCCACAGAACTGATAGTAAAAAAAAAATGAATTTCATCACTGCTGAGGACACTGGAAATATTATAAATATGAACCAATTGCCAAGTTTCCAAATTTCAATCAGGTGACCATGGGATGCTGCAATGGTTGTTAAGTCACTTTTTTTCAGTGCCATTGTAACTTCAAATGGTCACTAAATGAATCATTGTAAGTTGAGGTCTACCTGTATGACGTTTGCTCCTAAATGTATTTGTAAAAGTTTTTGAGAAAACAAAGGAAGATTAAAAGTTGGATGCGGAGAAATGCACGTCACCCCATCAAGTTTTGCTTTAGGATCTAGCCACAATTAAAACTTATTTAAACACCTTACAGAAATATAATGACTTGTCCTTGAAACCTGATTGTGGAGTATCAGTTACTATTGGAGTAGGGCAGTGGTGGGATTCAGATAATTTAACAACTGGTTCGCTCAGGGTCAGATTGGCCCATCCCCGTCCTCCAGCTCTGACCCAGATGCGGGACAAGCCTCCCGCAATGGCCAATCTGACCCTGGGTGAACCAGTTGTTAAATTACACCCCCCCCTGCCTGCTATCAAAGTGGATTCTGTGCACTGCACTGCAGTGGAGAAATGGGAAACGGAGTAGCTGGCACGACGGAAGGAAGAGAAGCAGGGAGAAGAGAGAGGGAAATGGTCTTCTTATTCCTTTGCTCTGCCTTCTCCGTTGCCTGTTTCTTTATTGCAACGCAGAACCCAGGATCCACTTTGATAGCGGGGTGGGTGGATAATTTAACAACCGGTTCTCAAGAACCAGTGCGAACCGGCTGAATCCCACCACTGGAGTAGGGCCCCTTCCCTGTCTGCAAACTTGTATTTTTCTGCCTGACCAGAACAGTCTCATCCGTGCAATAGCTTCTACGTTCCTAATCTAATCCTAAATAGTTATCCTGATTTCTATGAGGCACTGCACCAGAATAAATCTCTCATTTGTTTTTTGATTAGCAAATAGGACATTTTTTCATTGGAAGCAATGCATAACTTCTAAAAATTTCTCCCCGTCTTCTCTAGGGGAGAAATGTGGACTGTGAACTAAAAAGATGGAAACCTAACTGCCAAGGGCCAGATGTTGTGGCATTAGAAACTACAATGAAATTATGCTGCCAGCTGTGCTGAGTAACTCACCCAATTTTATATTCTGACATGGTGGAGTTGCATTTGATGTTACTGTTCCTTCGTTTCCAGTCTCATAAAGGGAGCTTTCAGATATTTCTAGCAATCTACTGTGCAGATAAATCTAGATTCTTTAAATATGAAAGTTGGAAAGTTTTTTTTTTTATGGTACCTTGCTTGCTGATACCATTAAGAGCTGTGGTAGTGCAGTGATTAGAATGCATTACTTCAGGCTAACTCTGCCCACAGCCACAAGTTCAATCCTGACTGGCTCAAGGTTGACTCAGCTTTCCATCCTTCTGAAGTCAGTAAATTGAGAACCCAGATTGCTGACGGAAATACGCTGACTCTGTAAACTGCTCATAGAGTGCTGTAAAACACTACGGAGCGATATATAAATCTAAGTGAATCTGGCTGCCCCATAGACTTTGTTTCTCAGAGGGTCAAAAATGTGATCACATGACCCCAGGACACCACAACTGTCATAAATATGAGCCAGTTGCCAAGTGTCCGAATTTTGATCACGTGACCACGGGAATGCTGCAACCAGTCGTAAGTGT